ATATATATGTTTAGGGTATAAGGTATTAATGGTTTAGCCATGATTAGTCAAAATCATAACTAATAAAAATCAAGTTTTTTATTCACATATGTTCATGAATCAAACCATTAGGGACATGCGGTGGAAGTGGCTACAATGACGCCGCTGCTGTTCTGTTCAATCCTCCGCCGTGGCCGCGACGGTTTCGTTGAGGGAAGTTGAAACGTTTACATTTCAATTGCTAATTATTGCTTAATTAACATAATTAACTATTTGTTTTATTTCCTTTTTTTACATTATTGCAATTTAATCATTTTTTATTTTCTTTATCTTTTTAATTGACCATTATACATTTCCTTCATTATTTATTAATAAATTTTATTTGTTTTCTTTTGATTATTACCCTCCCTTTTATTCATTCTATTTGTCAATTTCGTCCGTTTTATTTTTTTGCTTTTCTTTAACTTTTCTTAAAAAAAAATTAATTTGACATAGTTTTCGATTTGGTGTATCCGACTAAGCCTTAATGGCTTGTTTAAGTCCATTGGTGGAACTTAGTTGTCCTACAGTGGGGACGCTTGTGTTTTTTGTTTGTTTTTTTTTGTAGGGGCACGCAGAAGAGCTCTCGTTATCGGAGAGACTTCCTCATACAGGTGACTTGGCTCATGATCAGGATGGAACTATCTTGCAGGATGCTCAGAGCTCGGCTTCTCTCTGTAGTTGGGTTTCGTACTGTTTTGTTCTTCGCTATCTCAATAGGGCTGCCCATCATGTGGACTAAAAGGCCCTCTCATCGGGAGTTCGACTATTGGTCGACTCCCGCGCTCTTTTTATTTTCTCTGTACGTCTGATTCTATAACAACTGTCTTTGCGGAAAAAAAAAACCATTAGGGGTTTAGAGTATAGACTATAGAGTCGAATTAGATTATATGTTACTGAGTAGAGTTACAATTAAAATCACAACAACTTTACTAAAATTTATAGTTTAGGGTAATACAACAAATCATACCAATAATTAACTACCTAAAACAACATTTTCTCTACAAAAATTTATATGAACAGTTCCACTTGTTTTAAAATAATTAAAAAAATCAGTATGAATTGAAAGTTCACCCAAAAATATCGGTACAACACCAATCCTGATAGGCCCGCCCGCAACCTAGTCGACTGAAAATTCACCACAAACTAACTCGATGCATTGAACCGAACAACCCGCAACCTGAACCGCCCGCAACCTGCCCGACCCAAAACCCGATTTGCCCGCAACCCGATTGAACCCGCAACTGAATGAACCCGCAACCGACTAACCCGTAACCCAATGAACCCGAACTCGATGAACCCACAACCCAACTAACCCATAACCCGATTGAACCCAACCCAAACCTGGCCGAACCCGCCCGATTGACACTTGTAGTTACCTTGCCGCTCCTAGTAGTAACAGCATTGTAGTGGGCATCTGAGTCTAAGGGATTAGGTATGGTCTGACCAGGTAAGGTACTCGGGGCCCTCTACGCCACAGCTTTAGCCACACTACCAAGCTGGGTCTCTATATCCTGCAGAGCAGCCTATGTGTTCTATTGACCCGCTTCCATGGACTTCTGACCAACTTTAAGCTCCAGGAACAATCCCGATGCCTTCTCCATGCACCAATCCCATATTACTAAATTTTTGGGAGCTGGCACTGGCAAGAGAACCCACCAAGTCTCGCAGTGCCATCAAATCATGTTGTACTGGGGCTGCGCCTGGCTGCTGAAACTATCTTGGTTGCTGTTGAGGAAGAGATTGCCCCTGTCTGGCCGGATAAAGAGGTTGTTGCGGCTGTTGGAATTGGCTCTGGCGGGCGTGGTATGGCGGTCTCTGGAAGCCCGGTGGTGCCTGGAAGCCTGGGGGCTTAGATTATTGTTACCACTCCAAGAGAAATTAGGATGTTGGCGCCACCCCTCATTGTAGGTGTTGATGTAGGGGTCGATGTGACTGGCATTGCAAATAAAATCCAGCTGCTCGTGAGGTCATTCCAGTATAGTGGTAAGTATTCCCGCCTGTCACGCGGGTGACCCAGGTTTGGTCCCCATCTACTGCGCCAAAACTTGACTCGCTAAAACACAACACCAAACTGCGACTAAATGTAATCGCAATATAGTGGGTTCAGTTTTACTTGTCAACTCGGGTTCTAGATTTACTGTCTATTTTGTGAACCTCTTTTATTTAGCTGTTTTACCAAAAGCAAAAAAAAAAAAACTAAAAGCAAGTAACGATTGTATTAAGATTAAGAAGGCTCACTTAGGTACGAGTCCCCTTAGATCACAGTCAGGCCAAGTTGTAATTCACCTAAGTTAGGTTGATTGATGTTTAAAATGCGGAAAGTTCTCAAACATTTTGGAGTCTCGACTAGAGTGCTCCAAACCCTCTCAGTTTGAATACCTGACGGGCAACTAACCCCTACCGGCGTAAGCTAACTGAGTTAATAAGATTCAAACTTCCTGTACTGGGTTCTACACCGGTACAGAGCAGTGAATTGACTTCCCGACTAAAGTTGTCAATTCACTACCTCCAATTCAATATGCTTTATTGACCTATGTAGAGATTATCATTCTAGGTCAAAGCAGGAATCACTAGAAATTGATCAAGACTCAAGCAATTCTCAATCAATACTTCAATTGGATATGAATAAATCAATCATTCATGGAACAGGGTTCATACAAATCTTCCTAGCATACAATCTAGGGTTCTTACATACCAAGTGATAAAGGGGATTACTCCATAGAGAGAGAGTTGAAAGCTATGCCGGATGTAGAAATCATTGTGTAGACGGAAGAAATCTGCTACGGATCATCAATTGTCACTTCTTGAGGCTCGAATCAAACTCTAATGGTGGGGAGATTTGATCTAGGTCATTCTAGATTCTCTCTTCATCACTTTCTCTCTCTAAACCTCTATTTTCAACTCCAAGAATCGAATGGCCTTCAACTTCCCGTGTTTGGCTTGTGTTTTCCGACGAGAAAACTGGCGTTGAAATGAATTGAATGCACCTTGACTTCTTTAGACAACGATCACTAAACACGGTTCACACCTCTTCAAACATAGTTCGAATGAGGGCATTCGATGTTTACACGACTCTCGATACAGATCTCTACATTAAGTTACCCTACTCCTATGGAGGTTCTGTGAGAGCTCCAGATCTACGACTACTGATAAAAATTGCAGAGGAAAGATAAAATTGATAAAACTTGACAAGTGGTGTCGAGTGGTGATTTTTGTGAACCCCTCCTATGTCAACTCCTCCTCCTATTTATAGGCTTGAGATGATAACCGTCGTAGAAAACTGTCTTAGAGTAACTTCCAAAAAGAACTGCTCCCCTTCTTTCTCGGACATGGCTGACGTGTCATTGTATGTGGGATAATCGGCAGTTGCTCTGTTAACCGCCTGCTCTTTATCTTGGAACTGTCATCTTGTTACTTGCATCTCCCACAAGACTTGCTTTCTTACTTCCAACGTGTTAGTTCAGATCTTGGACATGGTCTAGACTCACGATGTGGTATAGATCTCGCGACCACCTCGAGCTCTAAATTTGACGCCAACGCGGTCTAGATCTCACGACCACGTCGGGCTCTAAATTTGACGCTAACGCAATCTAGATCTCATGACCACGTCGGGCTCTAAATTTGATGCCAACGCGGTCTAGATCTCGCGACCACGTCGGGCTCTAAATTTGACGCCAACTCGGTCTAGATCTTACGACCACGTCGGGCTCTAAATTTTATGTCAACGCGGTCTAGATTTCACGACCACGTCGGTCTCTAAATTTGATGCCAACGCGTTCTAGATCTCGCGACCACGTCGGGCTTCAAATTTGACGAGACTAGCTCCTTCTTTTCTTGGAGACTTAGTAGTTTGGGGCTTAAAACTATTATCATGAGGCCTAGTTCAAATAACATTAATTATCATTAATGATATGGCCTTATAAAGATAATAAATTCCTTGTAAATAATCAATGTGGTACAAAACCAATTTTAGGTGTAAACAGCTTGAAACAACCCCGGTTGGGCATACAGGGGTAATACTCAATCTCGAGGTGAAATACCTGATCAATTATTTGAGGTTCACAACCAGTGGGCCTCCTGGATGGTTTAACCGGTCTCCTCTTATTATACCCGGTCAGGTATTTGGATGGCCTAACCGAGTATTGTGTCTTCTAGCTCCAGTTTTTGCCCACTCTCTGCTTTTGACCGAAAACCCACTCCCAAGCCTGCATTTACGCTCCTGGTCCTGAAATACGACATAAAACCATAACCTAGCATGAAATCGGCTTAAAACACGAGAATCGATCCTTAAACAGTGCAAGAATGGAAAGGCAAAGCATGTGCAAATATCGGTTGTCAAACACGACATATGAGGATATGGATCATGCATTGGACAACGCTAGAGGACTAAAGGAATATAAAATAGAAGTATATGGATTTTTCATGATAAAAGCAAGGTCCAATAATGCAGAAGCCTGCTAGTAACCACAAGTACAGCCCAACGGACGAAGGCTTGGCCTAAACTGGAGCAAGAACCAAGGACGGCCCAACAATGGATCCAACCGCTACTTATTGAGACCTAGATAAATCATACCCAAATCTTTAGAAGAGGTTTTCCATGGGATAAGGAGGACATTCCAAGAAAAAAAGGTTTGGCGGTCCAAACCACTGCCCAGCTGCCGCAAAGAGGCTCAAGCCCAAAAATCGATATTTAGGCTATGGATTTGGCCTCAATTCAAAGAAACCTTGCCCAAGTTCTACCCCTTTAAATATAGGGCTAGACTCATTAGTTCAATATGCTGCACTAACTCACTAAAGTTTTTTAAACACTCTGCTCGAGTGGGAGTTTGGCATTCGTAAGAGAGGGTCCAGCTAGGGAGATGCTTTCATCATCGATGGTGGCACCCTCCTTCTCTTCTATGTATAACTAGTTTGAATTGATTGTATGAGAATCTAAACGTGTTTACCATTCTATATATAGATGATATGATTTCATATTATGCTTGTCTTTATGCTTATGAATTTTTATGCTTGTTATGTATGCATGAATGCTTGATTTTGATGCCTATGTGATGATCATTGTTGTGTATCTATTATGAATATTTTCTTATCATCGATGCTTATGACTTTATAGTATGCTACAATATGCATTGTGCTTAGTATTATCTAGGTTGTCAAGAATTACCATCTTGTGATACCCCATTGATGCTAAATGAGTATAGAGGGAATGATCAATCATATATACCTTGAGTAGTATCAATGTGTGATTATTAGATCATCGATGCTATAGGCCCTCGGTTATGGCTCATAGAGGCCCAAACTTAATCATGTGCTATCATAACTTCCTTGTTATTCATTAATTAGGTAATGACATGAATCAAAAGAGACTCGCCACGGACTACACCGCGGATTAAAAATCCCGACTAGAGCCCAAGTATAAACTCTAGTTGGGTGCAGTATAGGGCAAGCATGTTTCAATTGTCGAACCCGGGCAGTCCATGTACCCCTACTTCAATCGCTTAAATTGTTATCTAGCAAATGATTTTTGGTTTAAAACTAAGAAAACTACAAAATAAACAAACAAGTAAAGTAAATCGAGGTTGTCCCAATAAGAGAAGAATTCACCCTGGTATTGCTCCCCCTAGTCTCATATTAAGAAACAATGAACGAAACTCTAGTGCGAAGGATGTATTTATAAACCGTGAGGCGGGTGCAACTAGTTAGGAAGCCCTAACTCTCTTAGTCGATCGGTTAAGGATAGCAACAATAAGCTAGGTGGCCTAACTCTCTTAGCCATTCGACTAAGGATTGAAATTATAAGCTAGAAAATCTAGCCCTCTTAACCAATCAACCAAGGATTGCAAGAACCAATCCCTCGGAAATTAATCCGAACGAAAGATAGCGACCAATCATGATGGTTTCATGGCACTAGTTCGATATTTGAGGTTTGGCCTAATTCGTCCTAGGTAGGTACCGTAGTTGGCCAAAGGAATTCCAGCTTATAAAGCCTCTTAGCAAGAAAGGGATTTCCCTCTACGTAAGTCAAATTTGCATAATAATGAGTTAAAGCTAGCAACACACAATCATTCATGAATAATAAATCAAATATTATATAAAAACATTCAATCAAATGTTCTTACATCCTAACACACATTTAGACTAGGGTTCACCATACCCAAGTGAAGAGGAACTCGACTTCATAGTTAGGCAAAGGAAAACAACAAAGATGAAAGAAACAACCATGGTGGATGCTTGTCTTCCCTCCTTGTTGATGAGAATTTCCTTGAGAGGTAAGAATCTTCACTCCTCTAGCTTGAAGTAAGCCCAAATCTTCTTCTTCTCTCCTTGTTGATCACTTTCTCTCTCTATATTTTGAACAATACGACCTTTCTCTCACTAGGGTTTCACCTTGGGGTTTTCTTCAGCTGGAACCCTAGAAGGGAACCCAAAAAATCTAAACCTAACCCAAGATCCAACCTCTCTTTCTCTCTCCCAGCTGCCTTCTATTTATACAGCCCGATAATCACTTTCACAGTCTGCACTTCACGGCAGTGACATTGGACCACTGACCGTGATCTTGAACAAAAATGCAGGTCACTGGCATCGTTTTTTTTTGTCTGACACCAAGGTCTCCTTGAGATTTTCACGGTCTGGTGATTGTGAACATCTTCAAGCCCGCGAGGTGCCAAAATCCTCCTGTTACCCAGCAAACTTCACGCCCGTCATGCAATTGTCACGGTCGCCTTTGGACTTTTCTTCACTTTTTGTTTTGGCGCTTTTCGACCCCCAATCATCTCGAAACTCGTCCTCGAACTGTCCACACGTGCTAGGACCTGAAATGTATAAATAATAGCACAACCTAGCGTAAAACAGGTCGAGGGACGATGAAATGCAAAGCCAAACTATCAAGAAATGAGGGGTAAAATGTCTGCAATTAGCCCTGAATAAAAAAAACATGCATTAGCTAGTTAAATATCTATAGCAAGATGCACGTGCACGAGTAGAGAGTGGCCTTAGTGAAAAGGATAGAGTGATGTTATAGATAAGTCATTGATGCATGATATGATTGAGCTTTAGTATGCATGACAATACTCGAGATTCACCTTATACAATAATGTATCTTTACTTTTATTCATCTATAATTTGAAAACTCATAAATAATTACTTTTCCTCGCTTTCCTTTCCTTTGATTGTTGAATGAAAATTCCTAAAAATGCTTGCCTGTTTTGTGTAGCATAGATGGTATGGTGTCAGTGATTATACATTAAAAGACCTCGCGGAATATGACCCTAAGGTACCATAGGATTATAGCTCGATCTATGCACATAACAGTCGCAATGGAGCACTATGCTATCATGGCTCACATAAATAAATTACGGAAGGATGGAGTAGATCATCAACCAGTAAAGGTCATTCCAGATCAACTAGATCTTGAAGCCACACTATCACACAAGCAAGAAGAGATAGCTCAGCAATTAAAATCCCTCCAACCTGAACTTGCTTCACTTACTCAAGAGCACAAAAGCAGTAAGAGGCAGCTTGATGTGTCATGTTATGCTATAAAAGACCATCCCATTCATGAGAAAATTCAGAGAATGAAGTCAATTCCCAAGAGACCATAAAACTCTAGTCTCATACTCGAATCATCAAGAAGAGAATGAAGGATCTCAAAGAGGGCGTGAGTAAGCAAACATAATAAGATTGTGGAGAAGGAGCTTCAAAATAACATACTCGAGCTATTGCATGCCCATGAGCGTCGATCTAAAGAGCTACTTGATAGAGTCAATGGTATGATCAACAAAACTTCTTTGAAAGCTATCACTCTGAGAAGTGGAAAGGAGACACCACCAAATCCTTCCGAAAATCCTCCCATCAAGAAAAGCATAATCTGACTAACCTGAATTCTAATCAACTCAAAACCAACTAACCCGAAACCCGACTAACCCGTAATTAGATTGAACCTGCCTAACCCCGATCGACACTTTATTATTTTACTCTCTGTATATTTCACTTTATATCTTATTCAAATGAACGACAACTTAATTTCTCTTTTATTTGCATGCTTCTCTATATCATAGTCGGTAAATAGGATACAAGTAAGTTATGTATAAAATACGTACGAGTATTTTACTTCGTCTCTAAACTAATGATACGTTTAATAGTACATCAATAGTTATAAAATATGTAAACTTAATTATTATAATTAAACACGAATATTAAATGCGTTATATGGGTTGTATATGTGTTTAGTAAGGAAACTATCGAGTGAACAAGAAAAATGAAATGGCTTAACAATAATTGGGATACAAAATTTTTGGAATTTGCTACGGTGACTTGAAAGTGACCGTGACTTGGACAAAACGGTCGACCTATTCACTGATATGGTCGACCTATTTGGAATAAACGGTCGATCTCTTCACTGATATGGTCGACCTCATTGTTGGAATGATTGACCAGATGTACTATTTTTCATTTTGCTATCTTCAACAAACGGTCAACCTCTTCCACTAAAAGGTTGTTCACTATACAAAAAATGGTCTACCACTTCCATCAAGTGGTCTACCTCTTTCCCCAAGCGGTCCACCTCTTTCAATAATTGGTCCACCTAATGAACCATTGCTAGTGATATCAACAAATATAATTAGAGTCCAATAACAATAGATATGCTTGATAGTAAGAGATTTAAAATTAGTACAAAGGCTGCAAACCTAGATGACAAGTTTCTCGAGTGATTGTTCTCCAGTAGATTTGAAAAATGTTCTACATATTTATTTCTTGTATTTCACTTACTTTATAGAAACTTTCATCTTTTTTTTCAAATTCTAAGCTCTCTTGTTTCTATCATATAGTTGTCTTGTGATGTAACAACTTTGTTGCTATTGTTGTTATGAAGATGCTAAAAAAATTTGTTATACAATTGTGTCATTTTCAATGTCCATAAATCTCATATCATCGCTTTTGTTGATTTTTATTCCAGAAGAGTTAAAAGAGAGTATTTATTTTTGTCTTGGTCTATAATCTGCATAGGGATTTGGTTGCCCACAGGTGATAGGATGTTGTGTTACTACAAAAGAATTTTATATTGTTGGTCGCCTATTGTCCATTATTTTCCTAATGTAAGTATGAGGTAATTATGTCATCTGGTCGATCGATCGCCGAAAACGGAGATCGTTTGAGGAAAGAGGTACGTAAACCATTTTACGGATCGGTAGACTGTTTTGGAGGAAGTTGTCTACCTCCTCCAACAAGTAGGTGTAAGTTGAAGGTAAGTGTGTCATAGGTCGACCCATTTCCAAGCGATAGATTAGTTGTCTCAAGTGGTAGCTGCGTGGTGGAAGTGGGAAACCAATTTCTTGTAAAGTGGTTCACCACTTGGTGGAATAGGTCGACCACTTAAAGATAATTGTGTAATCAGGTCGACCCATTTTCGGAAGCGGTAGACATGTTGACTAAAATGGTAGACCACCTCGTGGAAGAGGTCGACCATTTTCTTGGAAAGTGGTCGACCACTTGGTGGAAGAGGTCGACCATTTTATAAAAAAAAGTTGATCGTTTTCTCCAAATTACGGTGACTTGCAAGTTACGGTTACTTTGTCTCTAAACTAATGATACGTTTAAGAGCACTTCTGCTATGCTATAAAGTATTGGTGCTTTAATGTACAACTTAAAGTTGTATCATAACGTGAAATGCACAAGTTCAGGTTGTACCACAAAAGAATTTGTGCTCTTATGTTATGGTACAACTTTATAACTTAAACTTGTACCATCAAATGAAAGTACAAGTTTAAGTTGTACCATCAAACAATTTGACAAAAGAGTATAGGTACAATCCCAAGTTGTACCATAACGTTAAAGGTACAACTTCAATTTGTACCATAAAGGGAAAAACCTATAGCACCAATGCTATATAGCATTGTAAAATTCCTCTACATTTAATAGTACGTCAATAGTTATAAAATATATAAACTTAATTATTTTAATTAAACATAGATATTATATGCGTTATATGGGTATTATTTGTTTAGTAAGAAAACTATCTAAGTGAACAAAGAAAAATGAAATGGCGGATACAAAAAATTTAAACAAATAAAATATCCTTTCATATATATATTAACTAGTGTGGCCCCGGCCAGTTGGCCGGAGGAAGGTAGGATGGCAATGGGTCGGGTTGGGTCGGGTTTTGCCAAATTCAAATCCAAATTCATGGGTTTATCCGTGAAAAAAATTCGGGGTAAAATCCACTGGGTTTGAAAAACTCAAACCCAACTCAACCCCCTGGGTATCCGCGGGTTCATGGGTACCCACAGGTTTTTGTCTTAAAAAATTTACAATAACAAGTTGCTATCAAAATTAAAGTCAAATATCAATCTCTCAATACAAATTATCCATATATAAAATACCATTCTAGAAAATTCAAGCAAATAACAAATTATCCATAAATAACATGATTAATTGAAAGCTTCTTCCTTTCTATTAAGTTTCTTCACTCTCCACTCGATAACATCAACTTCATTCTACACAATTAGAAAGAAAAAATTAGACATGTCTCCACAAACATAAATAAGATAAGTTGTTTAGAATATTAAATATATCGAGAAAATTAATTATATGGGTGTGGGCGGGTACCCATGGGTCGGGTTTACCTAAACCCAAACCCAACCCAACCCGATGAATATTGAACGGGTTTAAACCCAAACCCGGCCCAAAACCCGTCAACACGGATTTTACCCGCGTTGACCGAGTTGGGTAGGATGGGTACTCGTGGGTTCGGATTTTGTTTTCATCCCTAGAGGAAGGTGAGGTATGAAATTTGATAATGTAATGGGGTGTATAACTTAGTGTTGTATAGTTTTTTTGGGAAACACGTGATAAAAATAGTGAATTTTAGCAGGAAAGAGACATTAATGATGCAACAAATCAAAAATCGGCCTTATGAACCAAAATCAAGTACCTGTTACCTTGTGAAACAATATTGTTTCTGGTAATATGATGAGGTGGAGTAAGTTTTATAGAAACTGAATTCCAGAAAATCGAATAAAAAATCGCCTATCCCGTCGGTTTTCGGGAAATGAGCATCTCTCAATCGTTGCTAGCTTTTACTCGGCCCGTTGGCCGATTAATTTGGTTTATAAAACTTTCATCTTGTCGTCATTGTGCTTTCTGGTTTTTTTCAGGCTATGATAAAATCTAAGGAAATAAAGAACGAACAACACGATTTGGGATAGGAACCGTCATTGTCGTATCCCTAGAAAATGGTGGTAAACACGGACTCACCTGCCAAACTGGTTTGGATTGAGATTTTTATCGGGTATCAGGGAACCATGTGATTATAAATTAGACTTGATCAAAAGGGGCCAAAACTTGAAATGCAGCCTGTTTGACCGACCCATGCCAAATTCTAATTATTCTTTACTTTTAAACTTTTTATTTGAAAATAAAAAATAATGAAAGAAAAGAGATGACTGCCATTTGCACATCACTTATTCGGGAATAAAACCATAGAAATTCAAAAGGAACTGAAAATGTTAGGATCGTTTTAATGTTTAAAATAACCAAATAGATCTTTCTGTTTAGTTTTTTACTAACAAATACCAAACGATTCCCTATAAAATACACTATGATTTGATCATTATGATATCAAATAATTATATAATATATATTTGAAATGATAAAAATTGGACTAATTGGGTTGGTCGAGGTTGAACCATTGAATAACTTTAAAATACATTATATTTTAGCCACTAAGATATAAAATAATAGCATAATATATTATGCCAGAGAAAATAGCTTGTTTTAGAATGTCAAACCAATGATGTTCATTTGTTTTACTTGATGGCCAAATCCCGTGTAGGTCAAACCAATTCAACTCTTTTATTTTATGGTTAGCGGTTAGCCCATTAGATACTATGCATTAGTTTATTGTTAAATTTTTTATTTTTAGCAATAAAAAGAAGTATTGTTTTTGCCTCTTCATATATATTTTATCACCACGGAGAAATAAAAGGGCTTAATGAAAAAACTGACACTCTTGAACCCGTTTAAATCCGCATGTGTACGGTAAGTTGGCCCGTTCCACAGAGGAAAGAGGAAAAAATTGACACTCCCTATTCTATCATTCCTACAAACGCTTCTGGAGCAGGAAATTTGAAATGGGGGAAATGTTTTTTTTCCTCTCTGCTATTATATCTTTTTAATTTAAAAAGATGCAACAAATGTACTTAGTGTGATTGGTTATGATCCTTACTTTTCCTTAAAATAGTCATGATTCGAATCTCACTATGTGTCTTTTTAATGAATTAAAAAAAGTAAGTGTGAAGACCAAAATGTCCTTCCTAACCATATCATAATTGTACTTTTAACTTTCTTTTGGTACTAATTCCGAATAAAGGTTTTATCCTTGTTCCACCACTCTATTTTCCATCGATTTCGAGTTTTCGACATTTCGTCTCCCCAGACGTTCCCCTCCAAACCCTATCGGTCTCCTTTTCACCTGCCTCTTTCCGTCAGCGAAATCGACTACAGTCTGCAAAGAGGGTTATTCAATACAGCGAAGATTGGCGGCCATGTTTTCATCCCTTGCGTCTCAACGTTCCTCACCCATCTTTGCCATGTTCGTCGATAGCTAAATCTTCAATACTTTTAGCTCCGTTGACAAGTTCGCTGCCCTCCTTGTTTGGATCCACCAGCTTATTTCAAGCAGAAGTATAAAATTCGCGCTCTGATAAAAGTAAACTCGTGATTTCTTACTTCTCCGATAGTCGCTATTTGCCGCTCCAAAGCAGGAGCGTGGGTCTGACATGGCTGCTTGGGTAACCAAGGAAATATAGAAGCTTGCGAGGTTTTTTGTCAAAATCGGATATATGGCAGCACAAGGACAGGCGGTCATGGACCCTGCTGTGCTAGACGACATAATCAGAAGGTTGACGGAGGTCCGATCAGCCAGACCGGGCAAGCAGGTCCAGCTATCCGAAGCTGAGATCAAGCAGCTTTGTGTCGCCTCCCGTGAGGTCTTCCTTCAGCAGCCCAATTTGCTCGAGCTAGAAGCCCCCATCAAGATATGCGGTACGCTGATTCTTGGTTTTAGGTTCCTCTTTTGTATTTGCCATCTTGCCTGCACGTTGCCTGTATCAGAAGTTCGAGAGGTTTGTATGGACTTCTCTCTATTTTTGTTTCTTGGGTTGTTTTAGTTCTTTGATTGTTGGTCGGGAGGAGAGGTGCGTTGGTCCTGCAATTGACTTTTAGAGATTGTATCCTTTTGTTTCCATAAGCTATTCGCTGTAGTAAGAGCCGTTGGGTTTAACGGTTGTGCATGAAGCTGGCTTTCTTGCTTCTGCGGGTTGATTGCTGAATTTATGAGGATGGATGTTAGTTGTTTTTATAGTACTGGGAGGAAACGTAGGCACTGTTGTATTGCTGACTAACTGTATGACTGAAATTGGAGAGTTCGGTAGACAATTGTTCCTCTGTCCATTGTCCTTCCATTGGCTTCTGTTCTTGAAATTTTAGCGCGACACTTGAAAGTGAATTCCACAGGGCATTTCACGTGCTCTAATTTGCAACTATAGCAGTTAAACCGAGTATGCAACTAAGAGGCAATTGGGTAGCGTTTGTAGCTGTTAAGATATGTTTGATGAATATAGTATTTTGTATGTGTGAGGCAATCTTGAATCCTTGGGCTGACGTGTATGTCTGTGTCATTGATTGTATGTCTGCATTCAACTATTTGGTTTCCTTTATTTACCGGAGGTAACTTATGTGCCCATTTCTTTGTGTTCTTTTGTCTATCAATTATTTTATTATATGCATTATTTCCTAGGTGTGTTTCTTTGTTTTGTGAGTCTCTATTCAACTGTTGTTGTCATGCTTGATTTCCTGGTTTGACGTCTATGCACATTTTCTTTCTGATGTTTAAGGTGATGTTCATGGGCAATACAGTGATTTATTGAGGCTTTTCGAGTATGGAGGTTTTCCACCTGAAGCCAACTATCTATTCTTAGGAGACTATGTTGATCGTGGCAAACAGAGCTTGGAGACTATATGCCTCTTGCTTGCCTACAAGATTAAGTACCCGGAGAACTTTTTCCTTCTAAGAGGGAATCACGAATGTGCTTCTATAAACCGCATCTATGGATTCTATGATGAGTGCAAGAGACGGTTCAATGTGAGGCTTTGGAAATCTTTCACTGACTCTTTTAATTGCCTTCCTGTTGCGGCTCTTGTAGACGACAAAATATTATGCATGCATGGTGGTCTTTCCCCTGATTTGACACATTTAGATCAAATCAGAAACTTGCCTCGCCCCACTGCTGTTCCAGACACAGGTTTACTGTGCGATTTGCTGTGGTCAGATCCTGGTAGAGATGTTAAAGGGTGGGGAATGAATGACAGAGGAGTTTCATATACCTTTGGCCCTGATAAGGTATCCGAATTCTTGAACAAGCATGATTTGGACCTTGTTTGCCGTGCACATCAGGTGATTGATTCACTTTCAGTGAGCTACTGGTATCTGGTTTTTGGGTAAACCTTCTGATCCATTGTGGAGATTAAAATGAATTTTCTTTTGTCTAGGTTGTAGAGGATGGATATGAGTTCTTTGCTGATAGGCAACTTGTGACCGTATTCTCAGCTCCCAATTATTGCGGCGAATTCGATAATGCTGGTGCTATGATGTGTGTCGATGAGAACCTGATGTGCTCCTTTCAGATTTTGAAGCCTGCCGAGAAAAAAGCTAAGTTCATGATGTCAAACAAAATGTGAAGGGGCCAAGACTTGGAACACTTGGTCTTGAGTCTTCATGGAGGTCAGCTATACACTCTTATCTATTCACTTTGATTCGCCTAATTATTGTTCATAGTTCACCTGGTTTGTACGCGTCCTGATGGTCTTTCTTGCACTGGTATATGTGGTTTATCTGTCTTATTCATACAAGTAGTGAGAGTTATCATTCCTGGTGCATTGATTTTCTTTTTTGTCATTGCTTCAATATAATCGGAAAACAGTAGAGTCTGAACAACTGTTGTACTTTTTCTAGATTTTTTTCTAGATAAGGGTGACAACATAGATTGATTGATTTAATTAGGTGCTACTGAAGGGATTCGAACTTGAAACCTTTTAATTCAAAATTAGACAATTAGTGGTAATACTACTATAGTCCAAACCTTTGTTCGCCTGAACAACTGTTTTACTTATATTCTCTGCAATGTATACTATTATACAAAAAGATGTAATATTTGTTGTGTCCTTCCTTTCCCTCTCTCTCCGTTGCTATATGTCTTAGCAGCCTGTTTTCGGATATCATCAGGTCAACAATGTGGAACATTGAAAAATCAGCCTAAAATCAACGGCTAAATTACACGTTTTTAGTCACTCATTTTAACTATCATTAGCAGCCTGTTTCCTTATTAGTCACTCATTTTAACTATCATTCTAGTCATTGGACGTCTAATCCGTTCTCCTTCCGTCTCACCCTCCATTCTGAACTGTCGAGCCTGAGATTTGTGGCGGAGAAGTCGGCCGTTCAGTGTCAAAAACCTTGATAATGACATCGGAATCGTAATCGGATTCAGACAAGAGTCTTTTAGAGCCCGAGGAACCAAGGGGATTAGGTGATCTGAAGCTCCCGACAGACAGATGATTTCATTATTTTCCCAATTTCGCTTGGCGTACGCTAGCTTGAACCACATTCACATGCGAATAGTTGTATGGATCAAATGAGTTGTTTGCTTCTTGCCATCAGATAGGATCTGGATGGTGTCGTGGTGGTAAAAAAGTTGCCATCAACACCCTAACCGAATTGCTTTATATAACCAATCTTTGTCTCGCTGTCATTCTGAACGCAACTGACAGCTTGATACAGGCTTGAGATACTTGATGGGGCCTGCTTTCTGTTTCATGCTTCATTTGAACAGCTTTAGTCATTCCCCATGATAAATTGTCTGGTGATTTGTTCACCGCATGTTCTTCAGGAGCCGTAAAGGCACCAGTGTTATTGTTTCATCCTAGGACTTGTTACTTGCTGTGCGCTCCGTAACCTTGCCTTATTTCTCAATACTTTGCAGGGTTGGTGAACTGTTGCAATTGAAATGACCAGATGAGCAGATGTTATACAACACCTGTTTAGCTGCGTGGGAGGCGAAGCTAAGGATGGAAGCGAGGAACAGTTCTGCATTTTCAAATATCTTTTATCTCGTGTCTCCTTTTAGACTCTCTTGTGTTTCTGACTGGCAGTGACATTACTCGACAATGCATTCGCACGCATCTCTCCGGGCTGGCTGATTGAAATCATTTTTTTTTTTTTTTGGTTGTGCTGGAGGGGTTGTTGCCAGCCGCCTGGCCAGACCACCAACCTTGGAATTGCCTCTGTTTCTTCTATATGCTCTGTTGTCTTGTGGTGTGTCTAGGTCCTCAAGTATGGTTGCCACGGACGGCTATTGGTAAAGAATTTTCTGTCAAAAACATCTGTTTGGGTGAGCCAGCACAATACTATCTTTGCCAGCAGGTCCTCACTTTCCTTCAATTGCCACTAAAGATTTGAATACTTGGCTGTCGGTCATCATAATCATAAGCAAAGAGGCTCTTCATGCCTCACATCCGTTATACATAATCCTAATCATCCTCCATAATTACATCATAACGTCAATCACATAACTACACTTTATCACATTTATCATTTCATATTAGCTCCTTGTATTTTCATACATAATCATCCATCACACATACTTCAATTATATTCATATCATTACGCCCATAAGCGTCATTACTTTATCATATCCATGTCTTTACGTCCTTAATCTTTACAATTTACCACATCTAGGGGTGGGCAACGGGATGGGACGGGATACCTGTCCCGTTTGAAATGGGTACTCAATCCTATTTGGAGAGCAATCTCCATCCCATATCCCAAACCTGTACGGGTTAACGGGTACTTATTACCCGTACGGGACGGATAATGGGTACCCATATTACCTGTAAATACCCGTCCAATTGGTGGGACAAAATTAAAACTACAATCAAGCATGAAATTTTACATTATTGAACTCGGACATGTAAATTGATTCATTAGATTGAAAAACTTCTTACCTTCACAACACACACCCCTCCAGAAACAAAGGAATCAATCAGCTATCTTAAACCCCTAGACAAGTAAGATTCATTTCTTTGAATATGTAGCACTAATAATGATAAGCCATTTTGTAAAAGTGCACCTCACCGGCTCACCCGTTTCACAACTGCTTCCCAGTAACCTCAAATAAGGAATTCCACCAAGCTAAACATTCATCAAGACTAACACACTTAAGCTTAATTACCTGAGATGGAGTTCAGTAGAGTGCTTACAATGGGCTGTGATGGGATCAGTCAATTTGGCGGTAGAAAGTTTCAAGCTCTCAGAGTAAATGGGTTTTGGGCATTGGACTAATGAGTATAACGTGTAACCCGTGGGTACCCGTAATACCTAATGGGTAACCTGTGGGTACCCAAAGTAGTCATTCTTGATCCCAAGTCTCATCCCGTAAAAAAATTATGGGTATTTGGGTACCCGTAACACTCAAAAAACGGGCCGCGTACGAGTATTCCCAAATACCCGTTTCCCGTTGCCTACCCCTAACCACATCAACATCATACATTAACATAAAGGGTTAATTGCATGGTTGGTCAATGAGATTACAAAAAACGTTCATGTTTGGTCACTGAAAATATTTAAATCCATTAGTGGTCACTCAAATTAGTTAAGTGGTTCAAGTTTGGTCACTCTCCGTTATCTTTCGTCAGTTTTCATTAACACCGCAGTTATTTGCTGACGTGGCTAACTGACTCACCTAGTCACTTATTTTTGACAAAAATAAAATAAAATCTAATCCCGCCACATCATAAAAAAAAACCTGCCACATCATAAAAACCTAACCAATGTGACCCGACCCATTAACCCATGACCTAACCTACCCCAAATTAAAACTCAAGATTGTCTAATTTCCAAAATCCCTCGATGGAGAAGAGAACTGGAAGAAACATCATTCTTCCCTCATCGTCGATCCCACTCCCTCTACAATCTCACTGACCAACGACGGCGCGCTAGCTTCAACTCCCTCCTTGTTGCCGCCTTCGCTCTTACGGAAGATGACAAGTTGAGGAGAAGCAGATCTGTCATTCCCTGGGGATAGTGTTTTTTTCCATTCAGATAAAATAGAAGAAGCCGAGGGATTGATGGGCAGGGGGCGAATCTTCCGGAACGATTAGGGTGAATCGGGATGAAATTGCGAAGGGGAATAGCTAGGTAATTCAGTGGAGAAGGAGAAGGAGCACTGGACGGAGGGACGCGAGTTTGGCCGCCTTGGTAACGAAGCGTGACGTCCGGATAGCAAGGACGAGCTTGCCGCTGTAACTATTGGGGATCTCGGTGGAGACTAACGGGATGGGTGTTTTGATTGGAGAGGGTCGGGGAGAGTTTGGATCAAAAGGAGAAGGGTGCTCTTTTGTTGGGCGTTTGGGACGGGAGGGATTCAGTCCGCCTGCTTTTCTTCTATCTAATGCCGATGTGGGATTCATGAGCTTAGAAGAGAAAGAGCTATAACGAATTGGTTGGAGGAAAAATCAAGAGGAAGAAGTTGATTTCTTCTTCCCAAACCCAACGCTTTCGTCTTTTGACAATTATTGGCAATCTCTGGATTGTGCGACTGCTTCTTCCTCTTTGTGGCTGGGTTGGAGAACATTACAGGAGGGAGAAAGCAAGAGTAGGATCTGCTCCATTGATGGTATTGTTTTGTGGGAGAGATGGTTGGGCCACCCTCATCGAGCATATCTACTCCGACCATGTTCTGGATTTATGGCAGCCGGCAAAGATGGTTGGGTCTACGTCGAGTGGATTTGCTCCTCGCATTGATGAACCCATGCATTTCGAGTTGGAGGTCGTTGTCCGGCGGGTTGGAGTTCTTGGGCTTGTTATCGATGGTGCTGCCAGAGTAGCAATCGGAGGAAGATCGGTGACGATGGTTTTGGAAGAAAAAGGATTGAGAAAACATAAAGGTCTCTGGGAGTTGAGCGACTGAGTGAAGGGGAGTTTCAGTGTTTTTAGAATTATTTTAATTTTGATTTGTGTAGGTCGGGTTATTGGGTTGGGATTATATGACGTGGAGGGTTTTTATGATGTGGCAGGTTATATTTTAACTTTTTTTAGTAAAATTGGATGATTGTATATTTCTGTTAGCCACGTCAGCAATTAACTGACGGTGTTAACGAAGACTAACGGAAGCTAACGGAGAGTGACCATACTTGAACCATTAAACTAATTAGAGTGACCACAAACGGATTTAAATATTTCCAGTGACCAAACATGAACGCTTTTTGTAATCTCAGTGACCAACCATGCAATTAACCCTTAACATAAACACATGATCAATCACTTTGGCCATTCAAGTGGCCATTCACATTTGTCATACAATCATCATCACATTCACCACATAATTATCATATCATAGCCCTTCAATTCATATCACATCAATACTCATTCATTCGATATTCATGCTTCCTACTCGGGTCGCTTCATGACCCAAATAACTCAATATTATTATATGTACTTGGGTCGCTTCATGACCTAAATACCGAGTTTGCGTTGATGTAAATTTAGGGTTAGAATCTACTCACCCTTGTGGTCGCTAATCCACTAGTCCTTTTTCCTTTGAGGACTCCCCAGCTTGCTCTTTCCTTTTAATCAACCATATCACTCACATTTAATCATCTAAAGCAAGCATGTAGCCATAAAATTGCATATAAGGGCCAAGGTGGGCGAGTAGTGGGTCAAAACATGCATTTCCCCGCCCTTAGGACAATCCCCTATCACCCCTTATTAATTCCCGGTCGGGGGTTTGTCTTCCCTGGTTGGGGGTCCCTCTAGAGCCATTCTCCGATAACACCCCCCCCCCCCCACCCCAAAATGATCCCCTCTCGGGGATCTCAAACGGTGCCATTATCCTGTTCACTATTTCGATCATATCTCCCTACATTTGTATACTTGTTTTCTATGCTTCTACATTTATTACAACTTCAGCATTACATGATCATTATTTGACAACGCTGCGTAAAACTTTCGCATATTTAAGTTGTGTTCGAATTGAAATTTGATTTCAGAACGAGGGTTCAACTAGATATATTAAGTCATACAATTGCAATAACTCAATGCACTTTGACAATTTTTTAAACTTTAGTACTTCTACCAAAAAACCTTTTATAAGTACATATATAAATATGAGGTACAAACAAATTGTCTAAAAATTGCAGACAATGTTTGAAATTAGTGTGATAAATAAAGTGTAAGTTGTAACGAGTAAAGAGTAAGTAGCACAATGCGTTGATCCGAACAACCCGCAATCCGATATGTTCGTAACCCGCCTGACCAGAAACCCGATCAACCCGTAACCGGATGGACCCGCAACACGATGAACCCACAACCCGACTGATCCATAAAAGGATGAACTCGTAAACAGACTAACCACAATCTGATTGAACCCGACCAACTCACAACCTGATGAACCCGAAAACTAACTGACCCATAACCAGGGGCGGATACATGGGCCTCTAGGGGTGTCCCGGGACACCCCTAAAATTTGGGGAAACGATTATCCAACTTTCGGTAGCAATTTCGTATGAGTATACAAAATATAATTGGTAATCCGGGACACCCTAACATTTGAAAAAATTATTATCCTACCCTCGATAATAGTTTGCTTATGATTAACAAAATATAAGTGGTAGTTTGTGTTATTCCAACCTAGGACACTACTATTATCAAACATATTCTAATTATGTTGCTACTCATTTGTTATTCTATTTTAAACATCATGCAATAGTAAAATGCTATTTCTTTATCCCCAACTATTTTCAATACCTAATAATTAAACTACGTACATGCTACCCTTAATTTTGAATTGATTTTATGGTTACACGGCAAGTGTTGAAAGAGTCTTTTCTACTTTGAGCTACATTAAGAACAAGGTTAGAAATCGAATAAGTGATAAGTTCGTGAAGTATTGTCTAGTAGGATATGTAGATTTTTTTTTGAACAGTGCAGACACGAAGTTTATTTATATTATTTTTTCAAAATATAAATTTTAATTTATTATTTAATAAAAAAATTATACAAGTATGATATTTTAATATACGAATTATTTAATTTATTATATAATTAAATTTAATTTTTGAAGAGGACACCCATGTGAAAATTTTCTGAATCTACCACTGCCCATAACCCAATTAAACTCAACCCAAACTCCTCGATTCACAACTCTAACTTTTCTAAGTCTACACTGATATGACAACTGACAAGCATGCTCCAAATTAAAAGAATTTTAAAAAAAATTGTTTTTAAAGATAAACCCCCTTCGTAGAATATCACGCTACGCAATCTACGGGAACTCCGCGAGAAAAAAGACATGGAGACGTTTCAAGTGCCACCACGGTCGGCCAATGCGGTATCGCCACGTTACCTGACTACTGACTTTGTTGTAATTTTCTTCTCGTTTTCTTCCTCTTTCTTCGGAGGAGAGGGAACGAAAAAGACTTTTCCCTCTCTTTCTCCTTCTTGTGTTGAAAATTTTGGCGGGCAATCGTAGAGGAATTCAAATCAAAATCAAAACCCTAGCGGAACCCTCATCAAATTTCCCATTTCTCTTTCCTTCCCCTCTTTCCCTCTGTCACTCTCTCTCCGCGGGAAGTTTCACTGGCTGCTCCAGGTGAGTTCATCTCTATGTTTCCTACGATCCGAGCGCTCAGTGGGAATTACTAGGGTGAATGATTTCTTCGGAGCTAATCCTTTGGTATTTGACCGAATTGAAGTTTGTTTACCTCACAGGACTGACTGGAAGCTGGAGGGTGGTTCATGTCTCCTGATTTCTTGAATTCGTCGAGGAAGGTTAAGACTTAACGCTCGTTTTCTTTGAATTCGATTTCTTTCTTGATGTCGCGGACTCTGTTCCTACCCTTCATTTGCTGTTCTGTGATGGATTCAAGGAAGTAGTTGAAATTTTGTGGCTTCAGGTATCGGTTATATGTATGGTCAAGTTGTTTGGTTCCGTTGTTTATTGAAAAGGAGGGACAATCCTGCTGGTGAGGAAAATAGGTTGCTAGAGGAGCCATGGGGAAAGTTTCTCCAAAAGATGGGGACTCTGACACTCCTAGACGACGAAGGCGGTTGCGGAGTTCAAGTAGCAGGTACCTGAAACCTGGCGCTCTTGCTCAGCTGCGATACAGCAAAGCGTCGGTGACAAAGTCATGTACCGATCTAGGAAGAAAGAGGGTTGCTGTGTTTGGCACCGAGAAGACAGATGTCCTTGACAATCTTGCTGTGGAAAATAAGTTGGCTGCTCATGACAATAGTCCATTGTTACTCTCCCCCGTGAATTTGTTCAAACAGAATCGCGCCGAGAGGACACCTAGGACGCCTCGTGTTGAAGATTGTGAATCTGAGTCGAGGCTGGAGTCTCTTCCCATGGATTTGCTGGTAAGAATAATCCCTGGCTGTGGCGGTTTGTAGTTTCTATGAATCTGCTGCTCATCTCAATTTGGAGGAGGTTTGGTCTGCTTGTATTATTTAACCAATGGAATTGATGAAACGAGTATAGTAACGCTGCTGTAGTAAAGCAAGGTTGAAGATTTAATCTAATCATTTTTGGCATTATGACGCATGCGATTTGCTAAGATGAACTGATAAACCCATTTTGATTCATTCTCGTTTCATGCTTCGCTGAACAACATTTTGTTTCCCTTTCATATCTTGTCTTAGTTTTGTGTATCGGCTTAGGCTGTTTCTCCTTATATGTCAGGTTAATGTCCTGTGTCACCTTCATCATGACCAGCTAAGGGCAGTTTTCCATGTTTCTCGAAAGATTCGGAAGGCTGTAAGCTCCTCTGCTCTAATTTCTGAGTTGGATTTTTGAAAGAACATAACAATGTAGTTGACTCTGCTTATAATCTGATGGCTGTAGGTCGTGATCGCCAGGCAATTTCATTTCAATTATACCACCCCAGATCGTTCCAGACAGGAGATATTGCGAACAATGACACCGCTCCCTGCAGAGCACTATCCTTTTGTTGGGTAAGTCGGACTTCAACAACATTGTCAAATGTCAATAGCTGTATTCTATTTTCTTTTTTTTCCTTCACAAGCACTTACTTCCCATGTTTTGGGGTGGCCATTGGCAGGAAGGGAGATGGAAAGAGTGTCTTACTGCCAAGCCCTCATACTCCTAAAGCACCAAGACAAGGTCCCAGGCCACCTTCTCGCCTGAAAATCACAGAGATGAAGCAAATTGCAGCCGTGCTTTTCCAGGATTCTGCTTTCCCCCCAAGATGTGTGGTTCCTTCTGCTCTGTCCAAACCGATATGCAAGTCTTTGGCTTCTAATCGTGTTCTCTTCTATGAGGATGAGTTATGCCATGCTGTTGCTCAAAATAAGCTTCGGTAGTAGTCCAGTCTTTTTCTAGAACTCTGGTTTCCTCCTTGTGTATAGTTTGCTCTCTCTAAGCTCTTCAGCTAGTTTTAGTCAGGAAAGGGAAGGTACCAATTTTGTGGTGGACTAAACCAGTAGTTGGGGTAGCGATTGTTAGTTCATCATAGTTGCCTTAGGAATTGAACAGGAGTGTGCAATGCAATAATAGTGGTCTGAGGCTAGTTGGTAACTTGTATATATTCTTATCTATACATAGATATTTTGAGAAGGCAGCTGAGTTTTCAATGAACCAACTAGTGCTTGCTTTGGAAACTACTTGCGATTGTTGTTTGTTGCAGTATATAATTTCTATTCAGGCCTTTTTTGGTGTATTCTATTTTTCCTTGTACTCGTTTGGTTTGTTAATCACAATCCAATTATAACTTTCTCATGGCACATTTTATGCAATTTGGTTATTCTGCTCACAAAGGGAGATAGGGTTCCACATCCCACCTATATATTTGGATAGCTAGGGTTTTTTTATTTTAAGAAGAGAATGGATAACAAGAAAGAGAGGAGCCAAATAATCTTTGAGGTTGTCTCACAAGTTAATTGAGATTTAATGTCCAGTTACTTTTTTTTTCTCCTTTTCTTTCTCCCTTGGTCTATGAGATGAGAATATTAGTTTAGATATTCCCAATAGTTTTTTGGTGCGTTTAAATACTTGTTCGACGCTTACTAATACGTGTTCATTTTTATGTGAAATATTTCTTGATCTTAGATATAAGAATACTAGTTCGACACTTTTGAATATTTGTTCGACGCCTTGGAATACTTTTTGGCACTTTTGAGTACTCGTTCAACGCCTATGAATATGTATTGTCGTATTCATAGATGTCAAACAAGTATTCAAAAGTGACAAATATGTATTCAAACGGGCAGAACTAGTATTAAAAGCTTCCAACAAGTATTCTCATCTCTGATACGAATAAATATTCCTCACAAATGAACACATATTAATAGGCGTCGAGCAAGTATTCAATTGCCGCCAAAGTATTCAAAGTTTTCGAACAAGTATTCTCATCCCTGAGACCTTTGAAATGAAGAAAAGAAAAAATAAATAAAAGAGAAAGGTGATTGACACCATGGTTGTCATGCCGGTGACATGCCGGCCGGTTGAACCTGGTTCAACCGGTGTCGGTCATGAAATCAACATGAACACCACTAGTATGACTAGTGATGCTCTAAAACACAACACCTAACAAAGGCCAAGTGTAACCAATGAAAGGGACTGCAGTATAGTGGCTCAAGTGATAGATATCGAATCCACGGGTCTCTAGAGTTACTATTACTCAGCTTCAGTTTATTATTTAGCAAATCAGATTAAGATGAAAGAACTAAAACTACTCTAGCAAACTACAGTTAAGTTAATCTAATTACAGGTTGGGAACTCACTTAGGTATGATTCCCCCTAGCCACTAGCCAGATTAATGATTGATGATCTCTAACCTGTTTCACTTTCATTCACAATGCGGAGAATCCTTGACTAGACCTTGAGTCTCGACTAAAGGAACCAGGCCCTCTTGAGTCAATTGCCTAGAGGGACGTATCCTTCTCTAGAACAACTGATCAAGGCGTTCTGAACTAGACTCCCTCTATCGAAAGGGGTTCTCAATCGATACAAAGCAGTGAATCAACCCTCGACTAAAGCAATCGATCCACTACTATCAATCTATGGTGCTCTATTGACCTAATCAGGTATTCCCTCTCATAGGATCAAAGCAGAATCAATAATCTCGACTAAAGCAGAATTGAATCATGAAAACATGCATAGATTGAATATGAACTCAAGATTATCAAGTCAGAGTACTCATACAATCATCCAATCAAACAAACATAGCTAGGGTTCCTCAAAACCTAAGTGAAGGGAAGTTACTCCATAGAGAAGAGAGAGACTGCAGTAAGAATCTTCAGATGATCAGTCTTCAAGTCCGGGCTTGTTCCTCAAGCTTCTAAGGCGAAGAAATCCTCCTTCTCTACTCCAAGAATGCCCTCAAATCGCCCTCTCTCCCTTTGGTTCGTCCCTTGGGTGTTTGGGATCCAAAAACCCAGCTCTCCTCCTCTTTGGTTCGGAATTTGGCTTAAAACCAGGAAATCCCGACTCACACGGGCAGGGCCACACGGCCGTGTGGCCTACCCAGTTGCCCGTGTGAGGCAAAACGCACCGTATCACTTAGTCGAATTCCAGGCTTCTCACACGGCCAGAGTGGCACGGCCGTGTGTGACTTCCATCTGCCCGTGTTTGCTCTCGGCAAAACTCGCACGGCCAAGCCACTCCTTCACACGGCCGTGTCGATCCTCTGCTCTGCCCGTGTGTGCTCTCGGCAAAACTCGCACGGCCAGGCCATTACTTCACACGGCCGTGTGAATATCAGGGCAGCCCGTGTGACCTCCCTTGTGACTTGTCTCGCGCCCGATCTTCACCCAATCGACCCCGAGCTCGCTCCTAAACCTTCATTCACTTGCCAGGACCTGAAATATCACAAACAAGCACAACCTAGCGTGAAATCGGTCTAAAACACGAGAAACCACATCTCAAACGGTGTAAGAACAGGGGTAAAAACATGTGTAATTAACGGTCTATCAAACTCCCCCACACTTAACCGTTTGCTTGTCCCCAAGCAAACCTAACTCAAACCAATGTAGCTCTCCAGACCTCTATAGCAACAAACAACCCAGATCGTAGGTAGAGGACTTCCTAGATCATTTAGCAACTTACGAGGTCAACCAACGCACAAGTCATCTCATAGCTTCTTCGGCGAGAGCACTAGTATCGAGTCGGCATCATGGAAAATAGTGAACAGAGGACAAATGAATTGTGGATGAAGAGATTCTCAAAAACGAAAGATCATGGACTCACATTTTTCAAGGTGCTCTCTTTTTTTTTCTTCTTGAAGATGGTTGGAACCCCTTTTCTTTCTGTTTTGCTTGTTTTCTGTTATTTTTTTCTTTTCTTTTTTTTCCAAGGGTCCCAACCTGCTCTTACCGGCCATGCCAGGAGCGGATGTCTCGAGCCTCGTGCGGGGGAAAGACATGTAAGGGGGCTGGAGGTAGTAGGTGGAAATTGGGAACGGATTCCCGTCTCCCCTTACACACTTTCGCCCTATTCGCACGGGAGACATTTATTTTGAAGCACATTTTCGAGCACCTGTTATTTTCAAAACATGACACAAGAGTCCATGACAGGCAGAGAATCCACAACACCACACAATTCAAGGGTCCTAAGATCACTAATTCACTCAATCAACCAACACAATATGAAGAAGAAATGAGACTTCTTAAATGCATCAACATCCTCCATAGTGCTACACTACCTCCCTAGGTTGCATATCACTACAAAGACTGTCAATTCAAAGCATACTGAGCAGGCAATTGCAAGGAACACGTACTTGGAGCCCTCAAATTTAAAAATTTGGATAGTGGACTAGGCTCCAAGCACACAAACAGCCAAACATTCACCCGCATACATAATCGAACATCCCCCCACACTTAAGCACGACATTGTCCTCAATGGAGGAAAGATAAGGAGGGTAGAACGAAGTTACCAGATCAAGGGTGAATGATGATGAACGGGTCAGGCGGTGCCATCCAGAAAGAGAGAGTAATCAGAACACAAACACCACACAAAATCTCACAAAGGTTGAGTTATTGACTCTAAAATCAAATAGCAAAACTGACTCAACCGAGGAGAAATAGAGAAAGAAATGCAAACCGACTGGTTGGGTTGCCTCCCAACAAGCGCTTCTTTCACGTCGTGAGCCGGACGATGGCTCCTAAGTTTCGGTCCATGCTAGAACCTCCTTGAAGTTGAGGTTCTCGTCGATGAGGTGGAGTCTCAAGTCACGAGCATGTGGTGTGGTAGGTGATGAAGGCTCATGTACTTGATGTAGATGAAGTCTCCACCCTCGAGACCTCTCCTTCTCTTCTCTCGTCTCATTGCCCCAAACCAGATATGACAGCATCGATTGGCCACCATCGCGTCCACCAAGAGGGACCGATGTCGAGGTGGCCTTGGTCTGGCAAAGAGACACTGCAAATGGGTCCTTGCTAAGCAGTTCCTCGAAGTTTGGTGGAGATATCACATGTAACTCATGGCCGGTGCAGGCCTCTTCCACCTTAACTCCGTCCTCAGCCTGGACGCCAATTGCTTCTTCAACCCCCCTTTCTTCTTCATGTGGTATCACCCCTAGGAAATGATCAAGAACTCCTCCTGCTTCACTTTCGTCATCCTCCACAACTTCTTTCTGCACCCTTTGTTGCTCTTCTTCTTCTAGCACGGATTGGAGAGCAAGTTGCCAAGCAATTTCTTTCATGAGATCTTCTTGCAACTCCTCACTCATGCCCGCCTCTTCAAAGCGGAGTTTGGGGTGTGGGAAGGTGCGGTCGGCTACGACAGGACACTCCTGATCATGATCATCACGGGAGCTCTCCGTGACAACTTCAGTGTGCTCCACAATGTCCTTGTAGCCTTCTTCTTCCTCCTCCTCTTCTTGTATGGTAGCAGAAGGGTGATCTGGAGCAGGCTGTGCCCAAGATCGCTCAAGATCATCGACGCTCTTCTTAAGGCTCAGGAGGATCTCCTCTGTTTCACGATAGGCCTGGACACAATGATCCATCCTGGAGCATGTTCTATCACAGTCTCGAGCAAACTGCTCCATGAGAAGTCTCAATTCATAGTGTGGATCTGGCTGTGGAGTGTAGCATGGCTCTGCAGAATGGCCCGTGAAGGCCGCCATGGGTAACTCCAGCTCCAATGGCCCCTCTGGTTGTGGGAAAAATTCTTCTTGGTAATGAGGTTGTTCTTGATATGCCCAGGGTTCCGGTTGTTCTCCGTAGTAAGGGGGTTGGTACTGGAACCCGAATCCATAGTCTTCTCCGCCTTGATTGCTCCAGGGAGTGTCGGGGTAATACCACCCAGATGGTGGTGGATACCCCCAATGATTGGAGAAGCCATTAGGATCCATGATTCAGATCTGCACCAACAAAAACAAAAACACCCAAGTGAAAAGCAAGGGTGGAAAAGAAAAGAAAAACGCTAAAGTAACAAACTTCTGCCTTTCCTAATACTCTAGAAAGTCCCCGGCAACGGCGCCAAAAACTTGATGCTCTAAAACACAACACCTAACAAAGGCCAAGTGTAACCAATGAAAGGGACTGCAGTATAGTGGCTCAAGTGATAAATATCGAATCCACGGGTCTCTAGAGTTACTATTACTCAGCTTCAGTTTATTATTTAGCAAATCAGATTAAGATGAAAGAACTAAAACTACTCTAGCAAACTACAGTTAAGTTAATCTAATTACAGGTTGGGAACTCACTTAGGTATGATTCCCCCTAGCCACTAGCCAGATTAATGATTGATGATCTCTAACCTGTTTCACTTTCATTCACAATGCGGAGAATCCTTGACTAGACCTTGAGTCTCGACTAAAGGAACAAGGCCCTCTTGAGTCAATTGCCTAGAGGGACGTATCCTTCTCTAGAACAACTGATCAAGGCGTTCTGAACTAGACTCCCTCTATCGAAAGGGGTTCTCAATCGATACAAAGCAGTGAATCAACCCTCGACTAAAGCAATCGATCCACTACTATCAATCTATGGTGCTCTATTGACCTAATCAGGTATTCCCTCTCATAGGATCAAAGCAGAATCAATAATCTCGACTAAAGCAGAATTGAATCATGAAAACATGCATATATTGAATATGAACTCAAGATTATCAAGTCAGAGTACTCATACAATCATCCAATCAAACAAACATAGCCAGGGTTCCTCAAAACCTAAGTCAAGGGAAGTTACTCCATAGAGAAGAGAGAGACTGCAGTAAGAATCTTCAGATGATCAGCCTTCAAGTCCGGGCTTGTTCCTCAAGCTTCCAAGGCGAAGAAATCCTCCTTCTCTACTCCAAGAATGCCCTCAAATCGCCCTCTCTCTCTTTGGTTCGTCCCTTGGGTGTTTGGGATCCAAAAACCCAGCTCTCCTCCTCTTTGGTTCGGAATTTGGCTTAAAACCAGGAAATCCCGACTCACACGGGCAGGGCCACACGGCCGTGTGGCCTACCCAGTTGCCCGTGTGAGGCAAAACGCACCGTATCACTTAGTCGAATTCCAGGCTTCTCACACGGCCAGAGTGGCACGGCCGTGTGTGACTTCCATCTGCCCGTGTTTGCTCTCGGCAAAACTCGCACGGCCAAGCCACTCCTTCACACGGCCGTGTCGATCCTCTGCTTTGCCCGTGTGTGCTCTCGGCAAAACTCGCACGGCCAGGCCATTACTTCACACGGCCGTGTGAATATCAGGGCAGCCCGTGTGACCTCCCTTGTGACTTGTCTCGCGCCCGATCTTCACCCAATCGACCCCGAGCTCGCTCCTAAACCTTCATTCACTTGCCAGGACCTGAAATATCACAAACAAGCACAACCTAGCGTGAAATCGGTCTAAAACACGAGAAACCACATCTCAAACGGTGTAAGAACAGGGGTAAAAACATGTGTAATTAACGGTCTATCAACTAGCATGATCAAATTAACACTTTTAAGTAAAATGAAGTTATTTTAGTGAATTTAATTAATCGAAAAATAATTTATAATTTATAATTTATTTATGAATTTAAAAGTTAAATGTTGATGTTATTTGTTGGATTCAAGTAAATTGCTTATTGACGTTAAATATTGTATTTAGAGGTTGATAATAATGGATTTTCATATTTTTTTCACATTTTATTAAACCGGTATGAAATGGTACAAACCAGTTGTACCACTGGTATAATCATTCCTCTTGCTAAATCGACGGAACGGTATATACCGGTTCGAATTGACACATTTCATGTCAATTATGTTGAGGAACCACCCTCTTAAAAGTTGTTTGGCTCCACTTATTTTTTCTTACCCAAGCCCTTCCCAAAATAAAGAAATCATAGCCCTCTAAATTAGTTGGTGGAATGTGGAAGCCCATTTCAAGTTATGAGCACCTACTCACAAAATAGGTCGTGAGCAGGATAAGGAAATTGCACTCTATGAGTATATGCTTAGATGCTATTCCTGTAATTGGATCTCTTTGGTAGAATTATTACGTGGAAGTGCTAGTGTAGGACAATCCACTTTGACTCGTTTTTAAGTGGTTGTGAGTCTTGTGACGTCATAGAAGGAGTTGGAATAAATGGCTGAAAGTGAGTGGCTAGACAAGAGTTTGAGAAGAGGTTTTGGTTGACTTAAGGGTCGTTTGCTTTGTCGATTTGAAAAATATTCATCAAGCAAACAACCCCTAAGTGAGCCAAATTCAAATCAAGGATGTATTAGATGCTACTTGCGTTTTAAGCACAAAAACGGGTCACAAGTGTAGGAAAAGGAGCAAAACAAGGAGATCACAACAGAGATCATAGCCGAGAAGAGGAGTCTCGAACTCAACCAGGAGATCGCGACCTCTAGAGCAAAGATCGCTCCCGCGATATGGAGAGTGCCAACCGTGAACTTGAGGAAGCAGCTACCAAGGAATGGACAGCGAGTTTCGATAGTCGACTCGCAGTCTCAGTTGTCCAAGACCACGAAAAAAATCTCGACCGTGACTTATGAATAGCGACTGCGAAGTCAGGCCGCGAACTGCCGAGCTAGCTAGAACAAAAATATTACGTTTCAAGGTCGTGACGTCACATCCCATGTTCACACTCACGATCTCTCAGCCCGCAACCTCGAACTTGCCCGTCCTCATGAAGTCTATAAATAGGGGATCCCTTCCCCTTTGCAAAGAGAGGTGAAACACTTGAATACATTTCTAGTTCTAGAGAGAAGTTAGAGAGAGAAGCTGAAGGAAGGAGAAGAAGGAAGGGATTTTCCATCAATCCCCCATCTCTAGTTTTCTTTCCCATTCTTCTATGTATCTTCTTCCCCCTTTACAGGATAGTTACTCAAGGTACTAGGAAAATAATCCCCAAACCCTAGGTTTAGGTTTTATTATGTAAAATGAATTTTGTTAGGGTTTGTGAATAAAATGAGTTTACCTAGTGTTTGCATGCATTTATCTATGTTGATTATGCTTTGAACTTGTCTCTCCATATGCTTTTCATGATTTCCTAGTTAGGGTTTGCATGACATGGTTGTGGGTTTGAGAGGTTTGGCAAGTTAATGTAGATGAATGATCTAGGAGCCTAATTGGTGGTTAGAGGTGAGTGGTGACCATCCCATTCCACTTGGGATGCACATCTAGGTAATTCTAGCGCGATACGTGCGTGACCATTGACGTATCGAAATAGTGTGCAGATAGGTGCAACCTATTGAAAGGGAATAAACTGTATCCCTAGTTCATGAACATGATCGAGGTGACATTGGGTCAGCGGATCGAATTAAGATGGGGGCTAGTTGCATTACCATTGAGCTAGTCTCTAAATTAGTGAGTCCCGCACTTCGTTTCCCATAAATCAACAGAGTTATCCTTTTGCACGATAGGCCTAGTATCTAGGGGAAGGGATGCCTTGAGTACTTGTTTTTTTTTATCTCTGCTGTCGTAGCCAGTTATTTCCATTTGTCCTCCAAACAAACATAAACCTGATCAAGTAGATAACGACCAAGTGAAAAATAACCCATGATATCAAGACTCACGGAATACGACATTGGTCAACCAATATACTAACAATCCCATCTTGAGTTATACTTGACTCAAGATGGAATAGTTAGTTTAAGCCGTGAAACCAATTAATAACTCGCACGGAGCGGCGACCAAGTGTTAGTTTACAACACTGAAATAAAATTTTGGTCTATTTAAGTAATGCCTGAGGTTCATTTGGGCTTCAAAATGAGGGCTAAGTTTGGCATATTAAGTCACACAATTGTCAACTACAATAGCTCGATCATCTAAAATAATACAAAATTAATTAGCAGTATGACAAGGTTTTAAAACTCTAAAGTATTTCCACAAAAAAATAAATTTTATAAGTACATATACGTGATAGACATAAATTGTCTAAAATTTGTGAAAAAATATTTTAAATTGGTCTAATCAATAAAGTGTAAGTTGTAAGTAGTAAAGAGTACGTAAAACATAATGCGCGAACCCGAAAAATCTGAAACCCGATCCATCTGCAACCCACTTGATCTGTAACCCGATTAACTCACAACCCGATGAACCCGTAACTCGAATGACCCTTAGCCCAACTGACTCGCAATTTGAAAAACCCGAGCACGACTTACCCACAACCCGAAACCCGACCAACCCTAACTCTATCGAACCCAGCCCGAACGTGCCTGATTCAACCTCTAGGTGTGGGCGCGTGAAGTATGAGGGGTGTATATAGTATAATCAGGGTACCATTAGGCGATTGCAATAAGGAGGCAACTGAAATAGTGAACAAGGCGAGGGTTTGGCCTTGGTACCGTATAGTTTATGGTTAAGGATTTGGAATGCTGCGCTGCCCCCGAAGTTGATGTAGTCCCAACGTGCCTAACCGTCTGGTGAGGAACTCATCTCTCTAAGGTGGGGATTGCCTTGGAGTAGTGCCCAACTTATGGCTATGGGCAAGAAGAGGAGCCCTTCGAACAACTCTTTTTCTGTTGTCTGGTGGTAGAGGGTATTAGAGAAAAAGAATAATATTTCTTTTCTTAATTTTGTATTTAACTTAGTGCACTGAGTGCACCTATTAACCTGCACCCACTACATCACTCCCCTGCAAACTCTCTGTTTCCATCTAACAAACCTCCTGTAATTATGTATAAAGCAGAAGCTGAATCCAAGGGGCAAATCACGTTTTGATTGCTTCAGAATATCTCCACATCAATTCTGTTATTCCTCCATGGTATCAGAGCCAGCCAAGATCAGCTAGCATCGATCCATTTGCCTATCTCTTTCCTCGTTTTTTCCACTTCTCTTCAGTCTCGAGCCTCTCTGTTTCCGGTCATCATGTCCGACAGATCTGGTGTTTTCAACACCGCCTCATCTGCAGAGACCCCCACCATAATCACCTTCAATCCAGCTGCTCAGCTTCCTCTAAAGCTCACCCCAACGAACTTCGCATCCTGGCGCTCCCAGCTGGAAACCCTCCTTATGGGTCTCGATCTGTTCGGCTTCATCGACGGGACTTCCGTCGCTTCTTCTCGCATTGTCATGGTAGATGCGACTGCAACTCCTAATCCAGCCTATCAATATTGGTTTCGCCAAGATAAGCTCATTCTACACGCCTTACGCTGCTCGATTTCTAAATCAATCTATTCATTTGTTTCTGCCGCTTCGACATCTCAGGATGCTTGGTTGATTTTGGAAAAACTTTATGCGAGTCATGCCCAGTCCCGAGTTCTTGAAAGGAAAATTGGCCAAAAATGTCAAAGGGAATCGTGATGTGATGTCTTTTGTGAATGATTTAAAGGGCATCGCTGCAGAACTCGCCCTTATCGGCAAACCCGTCTCTTACCACAACCTTGTTGTCTTCTGCCTTCGCGGGTTGGGTGATGAATATAGTGCGTTTGTGGCTGCCGTCTGTGCTCGTGGTTCTGGACTCAGCCTGGAGGATCCGGTCGACTCCCTTGTTGAATATGAAGCCGATCTCCAGGCTCAATCAAAGTCAACAGTTCCGACTATTTTTTTACTCAGGGACAGCAGCGGCATCACGGTGGTGGCGGGTAGTTTTCCCCTCGTTCCTAGCTGGGGCTTTCTCAGCAGCCCCAGCGGGCTTCAACTCCACGGGCTTCTGATTATCAGCGGGCTTCAGGCCCATCATTTGGCCATCCAGACCTGTCCTCTCTTGGGCCGCCCTCTCCTGCTCAGTCCACCAGCCGCCGGCCCTCCATTATATGTCAATATTGTGACCACCCAGGCCACTCAGTTCGACAATGCTTTAAACTATTTCCTCAGGCTCGTCAGGCTTATCAGGCCCGTCAATCTCAGGCTCATCATACCACCACCAGCCATCCTTCATCTTCGGGACCTTGGCTTCTTGACTCGGCCGCTTCTCATCATGTTACCTCCGATTTAGGCAATCTGTCTCTTTATTCGGATTATAGCTCCTGGTTGGCGATGGCACAGGTTTGAAAATTACGCACATTGGGTCTACTTCTCTTCAACACTCTACTTCTTCCTTACAATTGCATGATGTTTTATGTGCTCCTGCCATCAAGCACAAACTTATCTCCGTTTCCAAGCTTTGCCGTACTAATCCCATCTCGGTGGAATTTTTTGCTGATTGTTTTGTTGTGAAGGATCTTCGCACGGGGGTGCCAATGCTAAAAGGGGGAAATAATGGCGATGTCTATGAGCTGCCTAGTGATGTGGACCATGTTTGTCTTGCGCTTGTCACCACTCGTACCTCCTCCACGTCCTGGTATTCCCGCCTTGGCCATCCTTCCTCCCGCTCACTCTCTAGTCTCATTCGCTCTCAATCCTTACCGGTCTCTTCCTCTATAGTCAGTGATCATTGCAACTCTTGTCTTTCCAATAAAAGTCACAAACTTCCCTTTGCTGTGTCTTCCTTATTCAGCACTAGACCATTTGATTTATTGTATATGGATGTTTGGGGTCCGGCTCCGGTCTCCTCCATTGATGATTTTCGTTACTACTTAATTATCGTTGATCATTTTTCTCGTTATACATGGTATTATCCGTTGAAGTTTAAGTCTGATGTTCTTCGTGTGTTTCTTGATTTTCGCAAGATGGTTGAAAATTACTTTTCCACCACCATTCGTCGCATTTATTCTGATGGTGGTGGTGAGTTCCAAAAACTGTGCTCCACCCTTGTTCATCATGGCATTAGTCGCCTCCTTACACCACCACATACTCCCGAGCACAATGGCCTCGCTGAACGAAAACATCGCCATCTTGTCGAAACGGGTATCACTCTCCTGCATCATGCTAATCTTCCCACTATCTTTTGGTCTTTTGCTTTTTTCCACAACTGCCTATTTGATTAACCGCCTACCCTCATCCGCTCTACATGGTCAAGTTCCCTACACTGTGCTGTTTAACCTTGCTCCGAACTATCATAAACTTCGTATCTTTGGTTGTCTCTGATATCCGTGGTTACGCCCTTACTCCTCTAATAAACTTGATCCCCGCTCCCGGCCATGTCTTTTTATTGGCTATTGTCCACAACGCAGTGCTTACAAGTGTTTCGATCCCCAAACTCACCGCATTTTTCTTTCTCGCCATGTTATATTTGTAGAAACTTCCTTTCCTAGCTTATCTCCTAATTCTCCTGCAGATTCCTCCACGGCGGATACATGGATGCACGACACAGGCCCATCCATTGTTCATCTCCCACTAAATGGGCCTTGGCCCATCACTGGCACTCACCAGGCTCCCTCCTCATCAGCTGCTGGCCCCTCTGCGCCAGATCCCTCCTCTGTACAATCTGGGCTTCCGGCTACTCCATCTGGGCCTCCCCCTTCTCCTGCATCACTTACCCGGCCGACCCATCCGGCTTCTTCCGCTGCTCCCCAGGCCCGCCAGGCCCCCGCTGCTGCTCCACCGGCTCGCCCGGCCTCTTTTGCTGCTCCAGCGGCCCACCAGGCCCCGTCCTCATCTCATCGGCTTGAGAATTCCTCGCCGCCGCCCACTGCTTCCTGTCCAGCCGGCCCACCTCCACTTATCCGCAGTCACAACATGACCACACGGGCGCAGGCTGGTATCTATAAGCCCAAGCGGCTCTTTCAGGCTAATATGACAACTCGGCCTCCTCCTCTTAAGCCCCGTTCAGTCTCCGAAGCTATGAAATATCCCGAGTGGGATGCCGCGCTTCACAAGGAACATTCAGCCCTCATTCAAAATCATATGTGGGATCTTGTTCCCCGTCAGCCGCACTTCAATGTCTTGGGAAACAAATGGGTATATCGCATCAAACACCACTCTGATGGTTCTATAAACTTGTTCAAGTGCCGACTAGTGGCGAAAGGCTTTCATCAATGCCCTGGTGTGGACTTCCAAGATACGTTTAGCCCTGTGGTCAAACCTGTCACAGTTCGCACAGTTTTCACCATTGCGCTTTCTCACAATTGGCCGTTCAAGCAGTTCGATGTCAACAATGCTTTTCTACAGGGGCCTCTTGAGGATGAAGTCTATATGGTTCAACCCCTGGGTTCGTTGATCCTCAACACCCTACTTATGTGTGCCGTCTCCGCCGTGCCATCTATGGCTTACGACAAGCACCTCGGGCTTGGTATACTGCTCTCAGCACTTTTCTTCTTACTTTTGGCTTTCAGAAGACACAGTCCGATGCCTCGTTGTTTGTGTATCATCGTTCCAGGGTAATCATGTACTTCCTGGTCTATGTTAATGATCTTCTTCTTATGGGTAATGATGAGGCCACCCTCTCTGCTTTTCAAATGGCCTTGGCTCGACAGTTCTCTCTCAAAGAACTTGGCGATGTTAATTACTTTTTAGGCATCGAGGTCATCCCTACGACCACAGGTTATGTTCTCTCCTAGCATAAGTATATGAATGATATTCTTACTCGGTTTCATATGCTTGATGCAACGTCAGTATCCACTCCTATGGCCTCCTCCGTTACTCTTTCTGTTCGTGATGATACTCCTCTCACTGATGCCACCCGGTATCGCCAGGTTCTCGGGTCCCTCCAGTATCTTGTCTACACTCGTCCGGACATCGCCTTTGCTGTCAACAAGCTCTCTCAGTATATGCATGCCCTTACCATCTCTCATTGGCAGAATCTCAAGCGCTTGCTCCGCTATGTTTGTGGTACACTATCCTATGGTCTTGCTATTCGCCGCTCTGCTAAGCCTTTGCGCCTCACTGCTTTCGCTGATTCTGACTGGGCTGGTAATTTGGATGATCGTACTTCCACTTCTGCCTTCCTGCTCTACTTAGGGGAGACCCTTATATCCTGGCGTTCACAGAAACAACGTACTGTTGCTCGATCCAGCACCGAGGCTGAATATCGTGCCATTGCCCATGCCACTGCGGAAGTAGAATGGGTGCATAATCTATTGACTGAACTACATCACCAGCTGGCCTCTCCACCAACTCTCTTCTCTGATAATCTTGGGGCTACATGTCCCTACGGCTCAACAGCTAGCCGACAATCTCACTAAACTGCTGCCAGCTTCCCGGTTCTTTCTCCTACGGTCCAAGATTGGAGTCGTTGACACTACCTCCATCTTGCGGAGGCGTATTAGAGAAAAAGAATAATATTTCTTTTCTTAATTTTGTATTTAACTTACGAATATGATTTCCCGATTCTATCCGAATAATACGTTGATATGAGTAAAACCACACTAATTTGAATATGGTAAAGAATACTGCACTATATGCACTCACTTTAGCAAATTATAACATACATCCAGCAAAAGAAGATTATTCTAGAAGGCTTCATAATCATCAAAATTATTAATAAAAGAGAAATTGGCACACATCAGATTCAGATGGAGCTCGGCCAACGGCACCACGCAAAAGACAATTCAATGCGCCACTTTCTCGTCGCCGTATTGTCTATAAAAAAGACTCGGCGTCCCTGAATGCAACCCCTAACCCTAAGAACTAAAATTGGCTGAGCAATACCATAACATACAAGGAGCAATGTCAAAAATTCCCCATTCAAACCAATGGTGCCACAACGAATAATTAGGCGGGAGGAATCAAAGGATAATAGTCCCAAAGAAAAAATGAATTCTTTACAAAATTCCAATAATCTGATGCCACCATCTTCAGCCATAAAAACGTTTGCTGCCTTATGTTTCTAATTTTCCTTTGATTTTTCATTTCATTTCCTTTCCGATTTTTAATTTTTTTTAAACAAAAGAAATTGATGTTTTAGCTCTTTTTTTTTTTTTTTTTTTTGTCTTTGGTCTTTTCAAAAGCTGGAACCTTGTTTCCTAAACCACCATATATGTTCTAGAAGAAGACCTCGACGAGAAACCATGTTTCATCGCGATCAAGGCAAGACCACTACCCATCCATGTTGTTGAAACCCTCCTCTCGCTCCACACTTTCCGTCCAAAGCACCATCGATGTGCATCAGAACACATCCACGCTTCAATTCTTGGCAGAAGTGAAGTGATCCAGACCTTCATGGCTAGATGATGGCTGTGGTTGACTGCTAAAATCACCTGACGACGATCTACTTTGGAATGCCTTTGATTGAATATCAGCTTGACGTCTCGCATTACTCTGGCCACTGACCTCCTCTAAGGACATGTTTTGCACGTTACCCGCAAGCATCTCTTGATTCGACTTCCCAAGGCCTTGAGGGCTAGGGCTAGGTGCACTTGGAAACTGAACAGATGGTGGCAATAACCACCTCATCCAGTCGTGTCTTCTTCTTACTTTGTCACCCTACCGTACAATGCAATCGGATCAATCAGTCATTTAGTAATATTGTTAGTCAGCGCATAAGAATGTCAATAAAGAGGGAACCAAGAGATACCTGCACTTCTACCACAGTGGAAGACCTGAGCGCATCCAATATAAACTGTATGTTATCAGTCAAATGTGAAACCTGCACAAAAATATCAGCATAATGTATTATTAATATGGCCACTGGATAACTCTACTCTAAAGCTAGCCACAAGTGAACACAGTAAATGAACATTATTACAAGTATGTTCTAGAAGCGCACACAGTCAACTCTCAAATACAAGATGATCTTCGCAGACCAGAAAATCGTGGCAAAGACATCAACAACATCAAAGGTATGCTTGCATACAATAAAGGCAAGCATATAATCTTCAACTATCCAATCATCATTTTTAATCCACAAGAGAAACTTGGAACATCCGTGCCTTTCATATCTGTGTTTCTTTCTTTGTTCTAGGTTACATAGAATAATAACCAAAAATGGAAACTTCAGTTGTACTCTCACCAAGAGCATCAAACACAGCTCAAACAACCGGACTTTCACAATACGAAATGAGTTCAAAACCATTCAGTTATGATTCATAAAAGACAACAAGCTGGTATAAACACAATTTTAACTAAGATCACTTCAAACTGAGCCCTATTTCTATACAAAACCTACACTGAGGCCATATCCCCTCGAGACACAAGTAATTTAGAAAAGAAATAACACGTTAACTTCAGGAAATTCATACCAGAGGACAAACAGAAGCAGCTAATAGACCACATACCAGTTCTTTCTGAAAACAATAACCAAGGATACTGGTCTAGCAGTAATGTCCAGTAATATCCAACATGAATGTGGAATTTTTGTTCGAAGCAGAATATGAATCAGCAATAAAGATATCACAGTTTATATGAACAACACACACAGATGATTTATGTAAAGATCCCCTTATAGCTGCAAAACTCAGTCTTTCAACAATTAGTAGTATGTGGAAATACATTGAGCACCAAATAAATCCAGAATCTGTATTCATCTAAAACAATGAAATACACATGAAGGCTTTACACATCATGCAACAAAATTGATACTAGAGCATTTTATGACCAAAAAAAAAAAAAAACAGCAATCAACATTGATCTTGTTAAAACATATGTAGCCCCACAAAAGCTCCGGACTTCAATGATGCATTATTCAAAGTTGTGTACCAGAAAAGTATTGAGCATTTACCGGCTTATAGACCAACTTTCTCCTATGTTCTAATATGAGCAATTGAAATGAAGTGGGAACGAAGGGAAAAGATACTGAAAATTAACTTCAAACATGGAACAAAAAAATATGAACTTGCCAGGCTTAAACTCACTTTGTTGAAGCCTGCAATTAATTTAATGGGTACCCAGCCCTCTTCATCCATATTCTGGCGCAAAAAGGTGTCCCGAATTAAATTTTCATTACTGCAATACGCAAACAAGTTCATATCATTATCAGGCACTCAAAGTATACAGAAACACTTCATTCTCAAATGCTTAATGCAAAGTACACATGAAACGGGATACCTAAAATAGTAATCAATCTGAGCCACTATTTTAGAATGCAACTGAAAATCTGGAGCAGGGAAGAACATCGCATGAGGTTGTATTTGTCCTGGAACAAAAGGCACTCCTCTCAAAGTTTGTGGAGGTGGAGGACCAGTCATGTAATACAAAGGAGAAGCCAATTCTGTGAGAGCCAACAAAAGCAGTTAAAAGAGAGGAAGAAATAGAAGATTAAGTAATCAATGAGTATAACAATTACTAGCAAGCAAGAGAACCTGAGGTAGATACACAACATACCAGGGAAACCCATGGGAGCTCCAAAGGGCCGCACTGGAGCAGGTCCCATAAAAGGTGTAGACGCAGGAGGAGCTGGGTGCCTCACGAACCTCGGTGTGACCCTCTGTGGCTGCTGCACATGGCCATCCCTACCATTGAAACTCCTATTATGAGTATTCCAGTCCTGATTTCCACGGTCTTGATCACGCCTACCTCCTCCATAACTATGATGATTGTAAGAGCCATCTGCACGAGAATGTGGGCCACCACCATTGCGGTTTCTGAATGAACTGCGTTGCTGCCCTGAATGCTGTTCATTACTACTGCGGGGCTGAGAACTTCTTGAGCCATGGTCCCTAGGAGAAGGGTTATTTGAGTGATGAACCTCCGCTACGTGTCCCTGTGACACTACCAAAGGCTGAGGATAGCTACCATCAGAAGAAGGAGCGCTGTTACGCGGTTTTATTGATCTTTGGCGCTGTGGAGTAGTATGGTTTGGAGTTGAGTTGGGAGTTGCATTATTATTGACTTGTCTCTGAGGAGACGAGGATGCAGGTCCTCCTCCCTACACAATCAAGCAAAGAGCAATGTTTCTAATAAGCCATAATGAAGCACCAAGATACGGGGAGACAACAAAGTAAACCACCATGTCCAATCCTATTGAGAAACGAATGGGAATAATTCTCTTCTATCTACCTAGTTCGCCTATAGTAGGTGAAGATCACATAACTGAAGTGCAAGTACACAAGCATCCCAAATCAAATCAGCTTGTATTAGACTCGATTAATTTACCATCTATCAGTTGACAAAGCCAGAATGTAACCGTCAATCAGAATAAAAAGTGATGCGAAAAGAAAATTGTACCGAGACAGGCACCACAGATGATGATCCATCGGGCGGGGACGATTTAGAGGAAACCCTAGCGGATTCAGATAAAGCAGGCCAGGAAACAGCTCCCATAACAGGTCCAATCTCTACATCCCCATTAGACGGTACATTCCAAGCTGGTCTCTTACCAGCATTGCCATTACAGATCTCATCATCCGTATTCGAAGAGGACGAAGCGGAACCCAAGACTTGTTCCGACAGAGCGGTAGGGGAAGAAACAGCTGCCGGTGGAGACAAAGGAGCCACAGAGCTTGTTTCTGACTCACCTCTAACGACGTGGCTCCAAGCCGATGAAACAAACGCCGTCTTGCCGGCACGGCGAGATTGCAGATTATTAAGCTGCTGAGGTTGAGAGATATTATTGCCGCTATTCTCCATTAGCGCGCGTAACCAGAGAAACCCTCAGAGGGTGGAGTAGGGGAAGGAAACCGAGAGAGAGGGAGAGAGTGTCAAAAAAGTGTCATATGGTGTGGAATTAACAGTGTATTTTCAGAGACTGGTTTTCTGATCGGCGTGATTCCAAAATAAAACAACCAAAAGGACACCCAATCGAACCAGAAAATTAGGGTTCGGAGGTGCGATTGGCAAAATGCCGATACACGATTTAACCAAAAAAAAAAAAGATATAGATTCTCGTACGGGAGAGATCGATAGGAAACGGGAGGTAGAAGGAGAGGGCGGCGGATTTTTGCAGCTCTGCCCCTCTGAATTTTCTTTTTCCTTTCCCTGTTTTCCTTTTACCTCTATTTTCTCTCTCCTTCTCTACATGTTCTTTTAGCGACTCTTCCTCTTTGTCTTTAGTTAGCTCTAGGGTTTTGTTTTTGTCTTGATGTCTAAGGATGGAATTCGGTATTGTATTTATTCGACTCGTTCTAGTTTTTACCACGATTATTTGGTTGTTTAGTTTGTTTATCGTCGTTTTGAAGCTATTATATGTAGGATTTTTGAATGTTTACTATGTTTCAGGCCACAACAAGTGACATCAGCGGAAATACTGGAAGTCGAACGAAAGAGATCGGAAAGGGAGCAAAACGGAGAAAAGTGAATAGATCACGATTTGGAGGGGATTATCACGGGCTACAGACCTTGAAGATTACAAGGAGGTCGTGAAGCTCGTAGATTTCCATGAGGTTTCGCTTGTCTTGCCGGCAGTGCAAGGACCACGGTCTCAGACCGTGAAGTAAGTATGGAAATCGTGAAGTGTGTTCATGAAGCAAAGCGTTTTACACGGAGATTACACTTCGCGGGCGTGATGTGAAACGTGCACTCACAGGCTACATAAAGGAGAAGGAGCAGAATTTCAATGAGGAGAGTTTAGAGTGAGATTGAGATTGAGTTTCTTGTTCCTTAACCTATAGAGAGAAAGCTACGAGGAAGGGAGAATTGATAGTGGATTTGACCTACCCAAACCATTTGGAGGCTAGATTTCATCTCCAAGGATCAATCCAAACAACTAGGAAGACAAAGAATCAAGTTCCCATGAGTTTTTTCTCTTTTCTTGCTGTTGCTCTTTTTCTAGCTATGAAATAGTTTTTTTCACTTGGATGATGTGAACTCTAGTATAGGATGTTGTAGGTGATGTTTGTGAACTCTATATGATGATGAGCATGTTTAACTATATATTGATTGAGTATATTTAGGCAAATTGAGTGTTCTTGATCAAAATTCTCAATTTTGGGGCAAATTGACCTAAGAGAGAGAAGATCTCCTTATGGGAATTTGAGTCACGATTCAGTCAAAGTAAAGAGCCATGAATTACGGTGATTGGTATCTTGACGTCGTTCTGTGTCAATTCCCGAGGGATTGGATTTGGTAACACTAGTCGCCTTTTGCGGTAGTGTGATACGCTCCTCTAATTAGACTGATTAGGCGGGGTTAGGATGCACTCAAATAGGGGGTCCCAACGGTGTATAGAACTTGTCAATTGAACTAGAGTGTCACAATTTCATGTCAACACGAGACTAGAGGGAATATCATCCGAGAGGAGCCTTCTCATCTTGAATTACTATCGTTTTAGTTGTTTGTTGTCTTAGTTTGATAGTTTTAAACATCGTTTCAATGGGTAGATAACGTGTGGTTTACTGAAGTAAGGATAGACGAACTGCCTGGATTGATAATTAAAAATATACTTGCCTTATACTACACCCCTCATAAGATTATACTTGGCCTATGGTAGGAGTGTGTAATAGGTCGCAAGTCAAGTATCGGTATCCTGATACTAAATACCAAAATCTCGAATACCGAATTACACACTAAAATCAATTTCAATCTCAATCCTTAAATATTTTGGTATCCCAATCTATATTATCAAATACAAATAAGTATATAAATTAGAGTTGGTAATCTAATATAGGGCAAATAGACTAGGCAAAAAGGTATTGAGTTCGCAAAGAGCTAGGACATGGACAAGGAGAAGGAAGTAGATAATGACATCTCAAATTCTTGTTATTTTTAATATTTAATTTGATGGAATGGAGGCTAAGAGACGACTAATAAGAGTGTATGCTTTTAGTGTTATGAAAATAACAAGAGTTTAAGTGAGAAATGAGAGTGACTTAAACTGGAAATCCAAAATCGGACTGGGTGAAGGCTTATGAGTTTTCTAAGAGTGAGCAATGACCAAAAGTAATGTGTAATATTTCATTAATTTTCAATTTTTGTTGTTTCTCGGTATTTCAGTATACCGATTTCAATCCTGAATATCGAATAACACTCCAAACTGAATTCCAATCCCTAAAAAATAAATCAGTATTTGGTGATACCAAACAATGATAAATTCGGTACGGTATACGATATTATCCCAAATATCAATATCAAACTTCCAACCCTAGGTCTGATGCCGTGTGTAGTTTTGGCAATTATTACCTTCAAAGCTTTTCTCGTGGGGTGGAATGGGATAGGGATGGAAATTGAACCTATACTTGTGGGTACTTAAGTGAATATGATTCGGTTAAATTAGATAAAACTCCAATATCCAAGCTTTTTGCTCTATTATGGATTATAATTGCTTTTGTAATTGGCATTGGGTCAGGTGCAAGTTTTGCTAAAACTCGATCCATTTTTCATTTTACCCGCACCCAAAAATTAAGACGATGTTGTTTTATATCTAATCCTAATAATGAGGATAATTTATAGATGTTTATTACTTGCGGATCTAAAAGCACTAGACCAACCCGGACAAGTGTTAGTGGCTCGACTTGGTAAAACAATCATCAACCTAGGACAGACTGGTAGCACGACCCGTTCAGTATAAAACTTCCAAAACTCTTGAAATTCATGGACAGCAAGACAAGAAGGTTTTCTTTGGCTCGAGACCGTTGCATGTTGTTAAAGTACAGCAGGGAGTCAATTCCTACATAAGCAACATGGAGCCATGGCAGTGCTCTACGTCTCCCCTGGAACGAATGTCCAACTCACCATTTTTCTCCTCAATTCTATGTCTTCCCAGGAATGAATGTCCAACTCGCCACTTGTTTGGGGAGGGTAGTTCGAGGAATTCTTCAGGTGTTGCAGCATAAGCATCGTTAGGTGGCTTATAGAAGCGCACAGCCGTACACCTAAACTGCACGTCATTTCTTTGAAATCTCTCTTACTTTCATGTGACAACAAGTTCCCTTAGTGGAAATCCCTGGAGGTGAATTCCAACTCCCTCTATGTATTGATTGAAAGAGTCGTGTTGATGCCTTCCCAATAGTTTGGCATAAGAGAGATTTCAAGGAGTCACAATAGGATCCCACCATGGACAGACTCAGATTGATTATGGGACATCCTTTCCTTAACATTCGATTTCATTATGTCAATGATGTGCTCCACATTTTCGTTTCTCATTGTCATCATTGGCACATGAATATCGTTAATGAGTTGGATGTGACTAAGAAATGCCACCCGAATAGGATATAGTAGTCTTTATCTCTATCCATGTTGAGTACTAAAAAATCGCGAAGGAAGAAAAAAAGGCCTTAATATTGACTTTGAAATCCTTGAATGGCGATTCTCACTTCCCAATGGGAGAGTGACTACTCACGAAGTAGCCTGACTCGTTCTAACTACAACATCCTAATCGTCGGCCAAGTGAAACCGACAACCGGGTGTAGCATAGGGCAAGCAAGCAATAAGAATTTATCATACCACAGGGATCTAGGCTTACCCTACTTCAGGTTTAGGGTTCGTTATCTAGCCAACCTAGGATAGTGATTAATAAAACTAAGCTAACAAACCTAGACTAACCACTAACCTAGCTATTTACAAGGTTTGAAGCTCTCTTGAGTTAAATCCCCCTATTTCCGACCTTTGGATCGATGCTGAGTATCCTCCTAATTCGATCGACTCAAATACTCTACCGTTTGGAGAAGGACTCCCTCAGCAATGACCCATAACGGCGAATCGGTGGATGGGTGGGTCCTCTATTCAACCTAGGGTTTTGTATATTGCGAGTAGACCAATTGAATCAACTCCCTCGGGGATTATCTGGACAATATATGATAGGAGTGACCCAAAGACGCCAATAATGGGCTCTAAGGGGATTTTCTCCCTCCTAGGTCAAAAGCTCAATGCATGAAAATGGAAACCCAACTCATGTCATTAATGAAAACATCTATCAGTTAAGTAAAATCATCAATCAAACATGGAATTTGTCGCATACATCAACAACAAACCAAAATCTAGACCTAGGGTTCTTAAACCCAAGAAAGGGGTGAGTTTCTAGAGAGAGAAGAGAGATTTTACAAATTGGAGCTCAAGATCTTCTTCTTCTTCTAGGCTTGCTTCCAAACTTGATCAATGCATTCAATTAAACTTCAAGATCACTCAAGAACTCACTCTCTCTCTCTCTAGAACTCCCCTTTGGTGTTTTGGGTCGAACTCTAGAGAACGAAACTATTTCTTCTCCCAAAAACCAGCTCTCCCTTTTCTTCCTTATGCTGCTGCCAGAGCGAAGGCTGTTCACGGTCTGAGTTTACGACCGTGAACTCAAAGCCTGGACCGTGATCTCAGCCAGAAATGTGTCGTTCCACTACATCACTTATTGGTTGACTGTTCTTACCTTGGATTGAATTATAGTGTGCGGGTGGTAATATATTGCATTGTTTGACGGTTTTGTATTTTGAATAACTTAGCACGATGAAGACAATATGCTTGAATTTGGCTATGATTCGGGTTCAAATGTACACATTTTACCCCTCATTTCTTGTCTGTTATGCTTGGACTGACTTGGCGCTAGTAACTTGTACAACCGCTCTGGAACCTGGCCAGCTCACGGTCACTTTGGGCATTTTTTCACTTTTTTGCGCTTTTCAACCTCCAATCGACCCGAAACTCGTCCTCGACCTTCCCACAATTACTAGGACCTGAAATGTAACAAAACAAACACAACCTAGCGTAAAATAGGTCGAGGGACGGTGATCTACCAAGCATAACGGACAAGAAATGAGGGGTAAAATGTGTACATTTGGACACGAATCATAGCCAAATTCGTGCATCTTGTCTTCATCGTGCTAAGTTATTCAAAATATAAAACCGTCAAACAATGCAATATATTACCACCCGCACACTATAGTTCAATCCAAGGTAAGAACAATCAACCAATGAAATAAGCATACAATCACTGTTACACCCCATCCTTTTCCTAAGGCAAAATTTCCATTATGCCCTTGGTAAAATTTTTCAAATTCCACCGTAATAGCGATGAGGACTCAAAATGTGAACTCTCGGTGCAAACTCTGTCTAGTTTCAACATAAAATGAGAAAGTTACGGATGTTAACCGAGTTTCAGATTAAACTCACCCGTAATTTTGAAATTCCCAAAATATTCCTAGGGAAAGTAGCCCTTATTGTTAAAGCATTTGCATGTTAAATCACCGTGTCTAGGCCACATATCAAGTTATTTATGCCCATTTTGTTCCTATTTTCAAAACATGCATTTTGGCATAGGTATTCATGATATGAAGGTTTTCATAGGGGAACCGACCCCACTTTATGGTATTTTATGCTTTCCCAAGTGTTTGTGATGAAATTCCAGGTCTTATATTAATTTGGGAGCGATCGGGAATCGATTGGAGTTCATCTGAGCATGATTGGGATACATAGGATCAAGAAGATGAGAAAAGGCATTAGTCATGGCCACAGGTCACTGCCCTTGACTAGGTCGTGACGATGATCGCGGCCTGTGATCGTGGCTGCAATCAGTGGCCACGAACCTCAGCAGGCGACCAAGAAGGAAACAAAGAGCTTTCTCACCTGGATCGCGGGCATGGCATATTTTGACCTCGACAAAAGATCGCACCCAGGACACAAAGATCACGGTCGTGATCTCATGAAGCAGGCTGTGATCTCGAAACTTAAAGACGGGACAAATGCGTTGTTTCGGGTGGTTCAAAGATGTTCTAGGCTGGTCACGGTCGGGTCACGCCCTCGAGGCGGTGACCGACACCAGCTACCTATAAATACTCCCTTTTATGCATCTTTGAAGGGATAGCCGCCCTAGAGTGAGAAAGTTAGGGTTTTTGAGTGTTTTAGAGAGGGAAACGCATTGGGAGAGTTTCATTGAAGATCCAATCAACCCAAGGAGCAAGGAGAAAGTGCAAGCAAGGAGAAGAAGCTTGATTCCATCACTCTCCTCTTCTAGTTTGTGTTTTCTTTCTCTCTAATGACTTGATTCTCTAATGGTTATTCAGGAAAGATGAACTCTAGTTTATAGGTTGAGTATGAATGAGTTTGTGAATGAATGTGTTTATCTAGTTGATTTTATTGTTATTCTAGCTTTGATTGTGTTTGGGTAAGGCGTTCTAATCTTCTCTACTAGCCTACTTTACGCTTCTAAGCTGGGTTTGGAGTTTTAGAGTTAGACGGGTATGCACCATCAAGCAAATCAAGGTTAGATGTATGAATGGGGCCTTATAGTGGTCGAGGTGACCGAATCCATGCTATAGGTATCCTTCCTAGACAGAACCCGGGATAAAACCTCGGTGTGAATGGTGGATAGTGTCCATTGAAATGAGCCATGATCTTAGTGACCCAGATACGATAGCTAGATCAAGGTGACTATATATATGGGTTTAGGGGAGACGTACTCGGAGGCGTGTGGATAACCACGAAAGTCCACGGAAAAGAGCTCACTAACCACATTCGACTAACCCTACTTGACAACTGTAGCTAGGAGGGTAAAATACCTCGGATACCACTTAAGTTTCAGAATTGGGGTAGGCATACCACTTAAGTTTGAATAGGGCGTAGGGTACCATTGATCTCTATTATTTGTGCACCCGGTACCACTTAAGTTTAATGTTAAGTGCATTCCGTTAAAGTTAACAGAATATTCTTGGAATATTCAGTTTTCTAAATTTCATAATTGGTCCTTCTACTTTTCTTATTGTAAAAAATTATTTTGACTTATGAAAAACATCAATTTTTATTATTTAATTGGTATCCTCTTTTGAAAACTTGATACCAAATTAATTTTTGAATAGAAAATTTAAAATCAATTATCATTATAAGTATTTTTAATTATCATTATGTTTTCTAATAATTGTATTATTCTCTTTTTATTTCTGAATATTTTGATACCAAACCAATTTTTGAATAGGAAATGTAGAATCAATTATCATTATAAGTACTTTAAATTACCATTATGTGTTATAATAATTGAAATATTTGCTTAAGCAAATATATCCTATGAATTCTATATCGATATAAATAATACGAGGATGTTATATTTAATTCTCATACATAATTTGGATGTTGTATAATTTTTTTTGGTTACTTTCGTTCTAAATTTTCTTCAATTACTGTAATATGTTTAATTCTTTCTGACTATGTTCCATTTATCTTTCTTTGGTCTTGATGTATTATTGATTGATTAGATTCTATTTTAACTATTTTTAATGTACTTCTTATTAGTTTAGTGATTTAAATAGATCTTCTAATTTTGATTTTAAATATTTATTATTATATTCTATATATTTATTCTTCTTCATGATATTTGTTTATATTTTTACTAACTTATCTATTTTATTGAAAATTTTGATTAGTCATTTAAGTAATATTATGTTTAGAAGGTTTTTTTAATTTCTATATTAGATAAAAACTTGTTGAAATATACTTTTGGATATTTTTAAAAGTTTTGGGTACCAAAAAGTAATTAAAATTTTGGGTTGGATGGAAAACTAGACGGATACACATTTTGGTGACTTTAATGGTACTCGACGCCCTATTCAAAGTTAAGTGGTATGTCTGCCCCAATTCTCAAATTTTAGTGGTACCCGAGGTATTTTACCCTAGCTAGGAGGATTCGACCCTAGGCAACCATCTCATCCCTAGCGTCCTCCCAATCACTTGGTTGGTTGTTTATTTTGCCTTAGGAAGGTTAAATTAGTTCAAACCTCTCACCAAACTTCCGACCCAATTAGATAGTAGTTCGTAACGTAGTAATAATAAACTCAAGGATCCCTTGAAATACGACCGAGCCACTTTACTACAACCCTAGCTAGGTTATACTTGACTTAGTTAGAATTAAATAGAGAGTGTGCTTCGACTTTATAAATTTAAAACTAGATCGTGCCTGTGCACGATCAATATAGCTTGCTATGGAGGAGAGGATTAATACCAAGACATAGTGTTACAAAATGGCTGGCTACGCATAATAGAATGATAAAACAAGATAAACTTAACGAATGAGGGAGCAAGTTATAGGTTTGTGTCCTCTGTCTTGGAGGGTATGAGAGTGAAGACCATTTGTTTGTGAAATATTCTTTTAGGCTCTTTATTCTTAAGTGTTGTTTGAGGAAACTCTGCCCTTTTTTTTAGTGGACTTGAATTGTCTTGTAGCCTGTTGGTTCTTAGTTATATTGGAATGAAAGCTGAAGCTCGGGTTCACAGATCGATAGGGCGTTTGGTTGTGAGCAATGTAGTCAAAATGGCGTTTTAAAGTTTAAAAATTTACGATTTTAGATTTTTAGGTTACCAAAACGCTTCTACGCAAAACCAGAGTTTTTATAACTAATGTAGCGCGTTAAAGTCTAAACCTTACAATTTTATGCTTTTAGGTTACCATAACGCTTTTACGTAGAAACACACTTTTGAGTACATTGGTTGAGTCTTGTGTGGAGGGATTGGGAAAGATGTGCAAGACTTTATGGGCAAAACAAAAGACTGCTTACTCCCTTATATATCTAAGTTTGCATAACCAGAGTATGGTTAGATGTGCGCCTGCCAGTAATTGTGAGTTGAAGACAAATCTAAGCCAAGCTGGAGACGAAGTGGTGGTATTCTGTGCTTCTGTTTTGCCCTTTGGTATAGTGTTGGATCACTTCTACTATGCTTTAAAGTATTGATATTTTAAAGTACAACTTGAAGTTATACCATAACGTTAAAGGTACAAATTGAAGTTGTACCATAAAGGAATTTGACATTTACGTTATGGTACAACTTTAAGTTGTACTTAACAAGTACAACTTTAACTTGTACCATAAAACGATATAAAAAAATATAGGTACAATCTAAAATTATACCATAATATTAAAATTACAACTTCAAGTTGTATTAAAAAAATAAAAGTAGCAATGTAGTAAAATTCCTCGTAGTTGGAAAGCAAGTACCTTGTAATGGTTTGTAAACAATTGGAAAAGGCGGCCTAGTTTTTTTTCGGTTGACCGACCTGTACTTAATATAGTTTGATTTAACAATAAAAAATAGTCGATGTAAGCTTTGTATGGATAGCATTTTCACGTTATCAAGTTTTAGTAATTAAAGTCCCAAATCCTTCATTCATCTCCATGTTTCTTCAATATCATTATTATTTTGTTCATGCTTTTCTGTTAGGGAGGGTAGAAATATCCGAAACTGTGGATATTCGTCCGAATCCAACCTAATTGGGTAGGGTAAAATTCAAATCTGAAGGACTTTTAGTGGGTACTGTCAATAACCAGTTGGTCCCAATAACTCGAGTTGTTAGAAGGTTATGCTGGATCTTATGCCACTCTCTAACACGCCCCCTCAAACGAAAGCCAACCTATGAGCTTGAAGTTTGCACAAGCCCATCATACAATGCGCTTTTATCAACGGTTAATATTGGGGGTCATGCAGATTCGAACACACGACCACTTGGCCAAACCAGCTCTGATACCATGTCAATAACCAGTTGGTCCCAATAACTCGAGTCATTGGGATCAACTAGTTCTTGACAGGTACGAGTAAAACACAAATCCGAATATTGCGGGCAATGGGTGGCCATTTTTTCTCTCTATCCAACCTGAACCCGCCCGATTATACACATGCATATGTATTTTGTCTAGAAATAATAATTATTTTTTCTCAAACATATTTTATATTTAGCATATAAATATAATATTTTCATGAAATAGTGTTGCTTTTATTAATTTTCATTTTTTCCTAGTGAATTATTGTCGTACTTTTCCTCTTACTTAATGTGAGAATGCGATGTTAACATATTGGTTGGAGTTAAAGAGAAATTCTTACCCTTGGATAACCATGGATACCCGAAGCCCGAACGGGTATGGGCATGGTTTTGATTTTCTTCTCATTTCTTATGTGGGTATGAGTATGGGTAAAACCATACTACTTTGGGTAAGGTAGGGCTGCAAATGAGCCAAACTGTTTGCGAGCAACTCGACGTTCGAATCAGGAAAAACTCATTCGACATTCGGCTCGTTAGTTAACAAGCCGGCTCACGAGCCGATTCATTAGTAAACAAGCCAAGTTTGAGCTAGACCATGCTCAACTTGATATGCTCGTGAGCTAGCTTGACTCGGTGGCTTGTTGAGCTAAACTCGCGAGCTAACTTGGTTAGAGCTTGTGGAATGATAAATTACTCTTCTGAACATGAACATTATCTTGTTAACATGAATTGTATGGAAGTTAGTTATTATTTTTAGTTTCTAGTATTATTTTTATCATTTAAATTCTTATGTGTACACATTTTTTAGCAATAATGATTTCAAATTGAGCTCATCTTGAGCCGATCTTGTACTCAGATTGACAAGCTGTGTTAATGAGCATTTATCGAGCTCTACCGAGTCGAGTTCGAGCTGGATTATCAAAATTTGGCTCGAACTAAAATTTTTGTAAACGAGCCGAGCTCAAGCTAAGAAAAAACTCGACATGACTCGGCTCGTTTGCTGCCCTAGAATAGGGTAACAGATATACACTATCTACCCCGGACCTGAACCGTTGCCATCTCTACTATATGCATCTAAAGTTTCCAATGTCTATGATCAAGTTATTTATCATGAAACTAGATAAAACTCTACAAAACTAACCATCGATATTTTCAAAAACTAGAAGTGGAAAATTTAATTTAATTTGTGAGTAGTTCGATTGACAATGTGATAAACCTAATTCAAGTGGGGACTATTCTGGAAGAGATTGTGCAGATTTTTGTTTTGAACGTGGGGTTCAGTATGCGATTTGTAGGTCGGAGTAGCAATAGGGGTAGCTCATGTGGTGACTAGAAAGGCTCAGTCTTTGTACCCGACTATGAGTCGTTTCTTTGATTTTCATGCTTGATTGAATTCGAGGATGTAACTATCTTTTTTCAATCAATATATTATTATTTTTTGTAAAAAAAAAGTGATAAATCTATCGTGGTTAACCAGAACAACCTTATTATCAACTACACCGTTGAAATGTTTTTTTAGTGCCCCAACCATTACTTCAGTTAGCCCTTAACCCTGGGTCGTTTGGATGAGGAATTCCAATGGATCAATCTGACACAATTGTCTCATTTTGAGACAATTGTGTCAGATTGATCCGTTTGGCAGCAGAAAATATGGATGAAGCAATGTGGCTGAGGAATTGACTCATTTTGAGTCAATTACAATTATCTGGGGTGGTGGCAGGTAATCTGAACTGACTCGTTTTAAATAACTCGTTTTGTAAAATGAAACAATTGGTCAAATTGTCTCGTTTTACAATTGATCCATCCAAACGATATACATTCTCATTTACTTTAGTCAGCCCTTGACTCTATATATACATTCTCATTTGAGTGCAAAGGATTCTCTATTTCAAATCAATGCTTCAAGTATTGGAGGCAAATTATTCTCACTATGGTCACTGCATTTTGGTGCATCTTTGGGGTCATCCCACCTCCATTCATCATCGAAATAAACTAGTGAGTTGGATGTGAGTATCCATCTCATAGGCAAAATCATTTCAAACTCTTCCTTTGTTTTGTCACGACCTTACTCTCGATCGTGCGGCCCTAGCTCTCAATTCCGTTAGAGCGCTAGGCAGCCTTTCTCTCAACTCACTTGAAAGCAAAGAACAAGAACAAAGACAAAGGGAATGGGAGAACTCTCTAGTGTGTATTACTCTCAAAAATGATGGAATGAGTACAAATGAGGGAGATGGCTCCTTATATAGGCCTCTCCACATACAAGGCATCAATGCCCCTCATAAAGTCCCTCTACTACATCAATACACCCCATTAAGTCCCCCCATTATGCACTCTATCAATGTCACCATTATGTGACTCATAAGTGCACTATAAAGCTCTACATTATGGTGGAGAATCCTAGGAGCATCTCTATGCTACTAGTCTTCCATGCATGCCACATGTGCTGCTGCCATGTTGTCACCTTGTTGGCGCCATGTCATCTGCCACATGTGACATCCTCCCCCACCTATGCTCGCGACGCCCTCGTCGCGTCCTCTTGATGGAATGCCTCGATCAAGTCCTTGTTCTTCCAAAGCGTGAGCTCTTTCTCCCATGTTGCTTCGCTCTCCGGAAGGTTGCGCCACTTGACTAAGTACTCCACAAAGCTTGGATGTACGCCGCGACGAGGAATGACACGACGCGCCATGATTTCTTCGACTTCATGGTCGTGTGTCTTGGTGACGAGTGTTGGTGCACGCTGCGGCTCCCTTCGCTGCTCGTCCTCCTTGTCTTCGTGGTAAGGTTTGAGTTGGCTCACATGAAAGACCGGATGGATCTCCAAGTGCGTCGGCAGCTCTACCTTGTATACCACATTGCCAATCCTCTTCACGATGGGGAATGGCCCTTCGTAGCGGCGAAGCAGTCCCTTGTGCACGTTCTTGAGATGCTTGAAGCGATGAGGGTAGAACTTGACCATCACCATGTCTCCCTCTTCAAACTCCAAGTGCCGCCGCTTCTTGTCCGCCCATTTCTTCATCTTCTTACTAGCGCGGGCTAAGTAAGACTTGGCCATCTCCATCTTCTCGTGCCAACCTTTAGCGAACTTGTAGGCCGCCGGACTGTTGCCTCTATACCCCGTTGCCACCGTCGTAGGTGTCAAAGGTTGTTGCCCCGTCGCCAACTCAAATGGACTCGTGTTGGTCGACTCGCTGCGGTGTAAGTTGTAGGAAAACTGCGCCGTGTCCATCAACTTCACCCAATCTCGTTGGTTTGCACTCACGTAGTGCCGTAAGTACACTTCCAACAAGGCATTCACCCGCTCCGTCTGTCCGTCGCTTTGAGGATGGAATGTCGTCGAGAAGTTCAAGTTTGAGCCCATGATCTTGAACAACTCTCGCCAAAATCTGCCCGTGAAGCGCCCATCTCTGTCGCTCACGATGCTGCTAGGAATGCCCCAATACTTGACCACGTTCTTGAAGAATAGCCGTGCCGCATCCTCCGCCGTTAAGTCTTTTGGCCCAGGAATGAACACTCCATACTTCGAGAATCTGTCCACCACAACCATGATGCAACCGCATCCATCGACTTTGGGAAGTCCGATGATGAAGTCCATGCTCACACTCTCCCATGGTCGTTGAGGCGTGGGCAAGGGCTCTAGCAAGCCTGCCGGGCTTCTCTGCTCCATCTTGTCTTGTTGGCACACAAGACAAGTCTTCACATACATCTCCACGTCGTCTCTCATACGCGGCCAAAAATATGCTTCTTCGATGAGCGCTTGCGTTCTCTCGATGCCGGGATGGCCCGCCCACTTGGAATCATGGCACTCCTTCATGATCTCCTTCCTCAAGTTGGCCCATCTTGGCACGAACATCCGCTCTCCCTTGGTCATGATGAGCCCATCCTTCATCCAAAACCGCCGAGTTTTACCTTGCTCAATGTACTCCGCTACGGTTTTGGCGAAGGGGTCATGGCCAAGGCCTTCAACGATCCGCTCCTTCAAAGGAAACGTGGGCTGGGTGATGCTTGCGGCTGCACTCTTGCGGCTAAGAGCATCGGCAACGGAATTCGCCTTGCCTGGATTGTACTCCATAACGAAGTCGAACTCGGCCAAAAAGTCTTGCCACCTCGCTTGCTTAGGGGTGAGCTTCTTCTGCGTCAGAAAGTAGCTCGTTGCCACGTTCTTCGTCTTCACTACGAACTTTGACCCCAACAAGTAGTGCCTCCATGTGCGCAAGCAATGCACCACGGCCGTCATCTCCTTCTCTTGAACGGTGTATCGCCTCTCCGTCTCGCTGAGCTTCCGACTCTCGAAGGCAATGGGATGCCCATCTTGCATCAACACTCCTCCAATCGCGAAGTCGGACGCATCGGTCTGCACTTCGTAGGCCAACGTCGGGTTGGGGAGCACGAGCACGGGCTCCTTCATCACCGCTGCTTTCAAGGCCTCGAACGCTTCTTGGCACCTTTCCGACCAATCCCACGCCTTGTTCTTCTTCAAGAGATCCGTCAAGGGTGCTGCAATGTTGGAGTAGCCCTTGATAAACCTCCGATAGTAGTTGGCAAGGCCGAGGAATGACCGCAACTCTAGCACCTTCGTCGGCGGCTCCCATTCTTGGATTGCCTGCACCTTCGCTCCATCCATCTTCAACTTGCCTCCACCAATGACGTGCCCCAAGAATGGAACCTCCGTGGCGGCAAATGTGCACTTCTCCCTCTTGACGTACAACTCGTTGTTGCGAAGGACTTGGAAGACTTGGCGTAGATGCTCGGCATGCTCATCGAGTGTTTTGCTATACACGACGATGTCATCCAAGTAGACCACGACAAACTGGTCCAAGAATGGCTCGAACACTTGATTCATCAAAGTGCAAAACGTGGCTGGTGCGTTGGTGAGACCGAATGGCATCACAAGAAACTCGTAAGAGCCATACCTCGTCACACAAGCCGTCTTTGGCTCGTCGCCCTCTGCTATCCGCACTTGATAGTAGCCCGAGCGAAGATCTAGCTTGGTGAACCACATCGCATCTCCAAGCTGGTCGAACAAGTCGGCAATGTTGGGAATCGGCCACTTGTTCTTCACCGTCAACTTGTTGATGGCTCTATAGTCGATGCACATCCGCAACGACCCTTCCTTCTTCTTTTGGAACAGCACCGGTGCTCCAAAAGGTGACTTCGATGGCCGCATGTAGCCTGCGTCCACCAAGTCCTTGAGTTGCCTCCGCAATTCTTCTAACTCCGGTTGCGACATGCGGTATGGTGCTCGCGAAGGGGGCTTCGCTCCTGGCTCCAACTCGATCTTGTGGTCCACCTCTCTTCTTGGTGGCAGCTTCTTGGGCAACTCCGATGGCATCACATCATCGAACTCTTCGAGGACACCTTCGATGATGGGAGTTGTGATTCCTGTTGAGCCTCCTTCTTCCTCCGTCTTCAAGGACACAAGAAAGGTTGGTTCATTCTTCTTGAACCCCTTCACCACTTGCATGGCCGATAGAGCACTATGGGGACCATCTTCTCTCAAGAGATGAACAGTATGGAACTCCCCTTCCTTCTCCAAGCACATCGTGTTGGAGTTGGGCTTCAAAAGCACTCCCTCCTTGTCGAGGAAGTGGATGCCGAGGATGACTGGGTGATCGTCCATGGTGACGACGGAAAAGTCGATGAGGCCTTCCCACTTGCCAAGCTTTATTGGTACGTTGTGCGCCACTCCATGAATCGGGATGGACTCCGAATTGATCGTCTTGAGCCTCCCTTGCCCCTTCTCGTAGGCAATACCCAGCCGGTTTGCCTCCTCGACGCGAAGAAAGTTGTCCGTGGCACCGGTATCCACCAAGGCTTTTGACTTGCCTTGCATGAATTGCGCCAGAACATAGCACCTCCCCCGCTTGCTCTCCTTGACGTCGGTCTTTGCCGCGCCAAGCTTGCGGATTGAGCCAATCTTGGCCTCCGCCGCCTTGGGCTCCTCATCTTGAGCTTCCATGGCTGCTAATCTCGCCTTCCTTGGGCAATCTCGCACTCGATGTGGTCCATCGCAAAGGAAGCAAGTCATGGGTTTTGGCTCGTACTTACCCCCTTTGCTCGAACCACCTTGGTGTTGTTGAGTGCGAGAACCCTCCTTGAAAGGCTTCTGCTGTTCTCCACCTTTGTTGGGCTTCGAACTCTTCTCTCTGCCGCTGCTCTCTTGTCGTTTGTACTCGACAAAAGACTCCGCCGTGGCCATGGCAGTTGCAAGGTCTTGCACTCCTCGACGTTGCATCTCCATCTTGGCCCATGGTTGCAGCCCATCAAGAAAGCCGTGCATGGCCTCCTTGTCCGTGATGTCCGGGATCTCTAGAAGCAGCTCCGAGAATTCTTTCACGTATTCTCGAACTCCACCCCTCTGGGTGAGTCTTCTCAACTTCGAACGGGCTTCAAACTCCACGTTCTCTGGGTAGAACTGCCTCTTGATTTCTCTCTTGAAATCTTCCCACGTTACCATCACACAAGTACCTCTTTCGACGTCCGCTTCACGTCGCCTCCACCACACCATGGCAACATCAACCAAGTAAAGTGGAGCGGTACGAATCTTTACCTCATCCTCTTGGATGCCGGACGCCTTGAAGTACTGCTCAAGACTCCAAAGGAAGTTCTCTAACTCCCTCGCATTCCGTGAACCTCCGAAGCTCTTCGGTCTTGGAATATCAGCACGTGGGACGGATTGCACCGTGGCTGGTCCGCTAGCCATGGCTCTCTTCACGAGAGTGACCTCACTTTTGAGATCTGCAATCTCCTCCTTCACGCCGACCAGCTCAGCCTGGACTTGCTCTTTCACTACTCCAATGGCGTTGTTCAAGGATGTGGTGATGGTGTTGTTGATGAGGGCCACAAGCTCTTCTCGTAAGCCATCATTACCAATCTCCAAGCTCGACAAACGAGCATTCATACCTTGAAAATCGCTTTCGACTTGGGTGAAGTTTGCTCCCAAATCCTCGATGGCACTGATGTCTTCCGCCAACTTCACCTCCATTCTAGAGACACGCCTCTCTAGAGACGTCATAGGATCACGAGTGCTTGACTTGTCACCCTTTGGTTTGGGATTCTTCACGGTATCCCTTCCACGGTGCTTCTCATCGTCGTGGACTTCTGATCCCGTCATTTTTGGTGAGGTTCTTCCTTTCCTTCTGGCTCTAGGTTCAACTTTGCTAGCACAAAGCCGAACCAGGCTCTGATACCACTTGTCACGACCTTACTCTCGATCGTGCGGCCCTAGCTCTCAATTCCGTTAGAGCGCTAGGCAGCCTTTCTCTCAACTCACTTGAAAGCAAAGAACAAGAACAAAGACAAAGGGAATGGGAGAACTCTCTAGTGTGTATTACTCTCAAAAATGATGGAATGAGTACAAATGAGGGAGATGGCTCCTTATATAGGCCTCTCCACATACAAGGCATCAATGCCCCTCATAAAGTCCCTCTACTACATCAATACACCCCATTAAGTCCCCCCATTATGCACTCTATCAATGTCACCATTATGTGACTCATAAGTGCACTATAAAGCTCTACATTATGGTGGAGAATCCTAGGAGCATCTCTATGCTACTAGTCTTCCATGCATGCCACATGTGCTGCTGCCATGTTGTCACCTTGTTGGCGCCATGTCATCTGCCACATGTGACAGTTTCCATTGGAGTATATACACAAATTACTTTAAATACAAGAAGCCGAGTAGGCGGATTGATTCGAGTGGAAAAGAAAAAAAAATTGAAGTGAAATTTTTTTTCTGGAGATATCCATTTTTCAAGAGCGACCGATAAGATATCGCGCCTTGTCCAACTGCCAGCGATCTAGTTTCTGCGTATAGGCCCCTTCTTCTATCTTATCTACTGCCTTGCTGGGCTCGTCGGAACCGCATGAGTTCATCGGGGTGTACCTTTTCAAATACTATCACAAAAAGATATTTAAATCACGAGTAGCAAATAAGGAACAAGATGTATCGAGGCAAACCCTATATGATTCCAAACAACTTCTAGTATATGATACATGATGTGCTGGAGGTTAAAAATGTTCTTATAGCTACTTTACAAACTGCCAATCCTGCATGTAAAAAGGGATTATGAACAGAAGTAGAACCAAGGTAAAACTCCAGGTATATGGCGGCAAGCAGCCCATTCATTGCCTATGTTATATTGGCTTTCACGGTTGTATGGACACCTTGATGCAGCAACCAAACAAATGCTGAATCCATACCCTCCTAGGATTCCATCGATTGCGTGGGTGGAGGCCTCATTTTTGTCTTATGAGGATCTACAAAAGGATCAGTATGTTATGTTTAGCCTACACATACAACTTCAAAATGCTGTGAAAGCTGGAAAACAAAAGTCCATAAGGAATACACACCATAAACACCTCGAGCCTCAACTTCTCGCCATTCTTGGACAAGGGCACAGCAGCAACACATCAAATGTGAGAGAAAATCGTCAATGAAACCACCCTGAAGACAAGGAACCTAAATGTCAGAAGGGTACACGTTCTTTCAATCACAAACCTACACCAAAACTCGAGGATTAACTCGTGTGGATCACGAGGAGAGCTTGTAGGGGGTATTACAGAGATGTTGAACAAGTTGCGGAGCTTCCTTCTAATACAACAGGTGTAACAGCAACATGAAAGAATTAATGAGTACGCCATCAGGTCGTTGCATGCTTCTGCTGATGCTGCAGTCAACAGGATAAAAAAAATCCCCACGTTAGGTTTTGGGATTTGTAGTTCTTTGCTGTAATGGGCAGAGATACAAATGTTATGGCAACATTACAAAAGTCCTAGCTAGCCACTTACACATGTGATTGCCTGATGCTACAGTTGCTATCTTTGAGAATGTGCCACATGGGTAAAAGAATGTTTTCATACCTGCAGTTGAAAATAGGATGATTATTCACCATATCAAGTTTAATTTTTCTCCCAACGATATAGTTCACAGGAGAATATAAGGCACAAACAGTTTTTCAAAGTTTCCTTTTGATAAAATTGGAGCTCATGAAGCAACCTCTACCAGTCAACATTACATGTAGTGCACAATTCTCAAAGGAACCAGGTATGCACAACATGTGGTCAGGAAGTTGTTCTTTATAGCAAAAGGATATACAAGACTCCAGGAACTCACATTGCTAAAAGAATTAAGATGCAAACTGAGGTGAAATTCAGACATAAAATCGAGCGAGTATAACAAAACTATAATACAAGTCACTGGGAAGACATACACAGTACAGGTTCTGAACAACAACCAAGCAAATCGGAGTGCCATTCTTCATCAAGACTGGAACCTCTTCGGGACAGCAAGTCTTTCCCAGAAGAAACTGAGGACGTGTTTCTGCACAAAAGAAAACAGTTTCAATTTTCTGAAATTAATTTGCGGCTGCAAACAATAAATTCGTTGGTCTTTTTCCCCCTATGCAACTTTTGGTTAAGGCACCTTTTGATAGTAGCTCCATTATTCAAACTAATAATAATCTCCAGACCAAGCAGAGTCATCTCTGCCAACTAGGGAATTGTAAACTCCAAAAGGAAATTACATTTTACCTGATTGGCAGCATTGACCTTCAGCCCTGATATCCATTGGACTAATAACCCCAACTAATACAGGCAATTACGTTAGAAGAAGTCTAACCTTGAGGTGGTACGAGAGTCACTTTTCCTTGGATAGCTCTCATCAAATGTATGTTCCTTCTCGTTCATATCTGAGAAATCAGGCTGCGATTTCTTTGAAGCCTTCTTGGGTGAACTTCTTTCAGGCACAACATTTGCTGCTGCAACTTCTGTAACTTCAAGCAGATGTTGGATAACCTCACATTGGTTCACATCCATATTAGCTTGTGATCTCTGTAGCTCAACTTGCAGCATCTCACTTTCCTTTTGCAGAGCTTCATTAAAACACATGTTTGGATACGAACAAGAAAGAGTTTTTTTCAACACGGTAGTTTGATCTTTGACGGACTCAGATTTCAAGATCAAATCTTGAACCTTTCTATCCTCTTCATCCAATGTGTACTCGCGCTGATCCCTCTCAATATCTTCAAGTCTCTCCTACATAAGAAAACCGAAAGGGGAAGGTGAAAAAAACCCAGATACGTGAATGCACTGATAAAACCAGATCTCCACCAATGAACCAGAACAAAGAACAAGAGTTTACCCTGATTCGAGTGTTGTCCACGAGTGTGATGAGAGGAATTAACCGCAAGTACCGATCAATCTCATTCTGCGCCTTCCTGAATTGGTAGACTATGTTCCAACCCATGGCAAGCAAGTAGAGATAGCTTCTGTCCTGACAGCTATTCACCAAAATGTACGATCTCCTCAGTGAATCCTCAAGCTGTTCCAGCGGCTCCCTTGTTTCAGGATATTTCTTAAGCTCGGTGATCTTAAGCTGCTCCAGTAAGCCCCCAATCAACTTGAGATGCTGAGCAAACTGTCTGCAGTTCTTCTTGTGCATCCTGGCTGTGCTGGCGGCTTTGACTATCAACCCAATTAGCCGCACTGCATCCAGACCAGTGACCTGGGCCACATTCGCAATCTCCCCAAAATTACCCCAAGCTGACATCCTTCCTCGACGGTATAGAATCTAATCCTGTGCCGGGGAAAAACACAAGAGATCGCTAAGAAATAACCCATTACTCAGCAGGATGCAGGGGGTAAAAAATTTCTCTGTTTGCTCTTGTGGCCAGCATCAATCTTAGATCCACTGGCGCACACAATCAAACACAACGTGTGCAACCAAAATTCCACTATTACTGCCGAATTCACAGTTCGCTCTAAAACACGTCGTCAAATCGAGTGAATTGGCAAAAGAAGAAGAAGAAGGTGGGGGTTTTCCCTTACCACTGACGTCTAACAGAATCGGCCGGGAGTTGGGTATTTTTAAGAAGCTTCCTGAACTCCTGCTACCGCATGATTGCAACGAGAAGTGAAGATGAGGTAATTTTGATCTGAACCGATTCCAGGGCTTCCAGCCTGGGTTAGATGGGCAGGAACTGCATCTACGCGACGACGGGAGATCAGAAGTAGATTTGCCCAAGCTCTGGCTTCAGCTGCTACACAGCAGTAGGAAGAAAGCAGAAGAAGTTGTGAGAAAAACAAAAAGAGAAAGCAGGAATGGGTGAATTAACCATTACGCTTCTTGACTGGCTCTGCAAAGACCCAAAATGAAAAAGCAAAAACCCAGAAAAGAAGAGAAAAAAAAAAAGGCAGATGCATCGTTCGGCATTGGGAAGAAGGAAACGGAAAATCAAATCTCAACATAGAGAAAAACAAGCAAGCAAACCCAGCATTCACACAGTTCTGGCTCTCACCCCTTTTTCTACCATTAATGACTCCGTCGCCTGAATCAGGCGAAAAAGAACAAGAGGCAACCTGCCGGCAAGAAGCAATGGAGTACGAATGAAAATTGGAAGAGCCACAACAAGATTATTTTTTTAACAAACGAGGGTGAAATTCAGGGAATTGGTGGTGGTGGGGAGGGAGACAAACGATTTTTATCTTCTCTCCATGCAAATGAAATACGGCTGCACAGTTTTCAACTCCGCTTTTTCTTCAAAAATGTTATTACTGCTGTTATTTATCATTATATGTAATACAGAGAGATGGGTAAAGAGGAAAGAGGTGAGAGGGAGAAGGGGAAACGTCAAAATCCATGGAGGAGGGAGAGAGAGGAAGCATTGTTGTTGAGTTCTGCTGAGAAAAAGAATGAATCTCTTCATCTCTCACCTTCTTTGCTCTCTCTTCGTGAAATGGGAATTTGGAGGTATGCGGAAAGTGCACAGAGCAGGAAAATCCAGAGCAGAGAGAAAACGAGGAAGGAGAAGAGAAAGAGAACAGAAGACACTCACTCTCTCACATTTGCAGAGGGGAGGGAGATTGGGTTTTAGTGACTGGTATTTCGGTGAAATCTGTCTCTTGCTGCTGCTGCTGCTGCTGCGCTGGCGTCGTCTCGCCGTGCACTGAGAGACAAACACCATGGATTTTGGCACTGTACAGCGGAGTAGTGTGGGGGGTGGTAGTGGAGGTGTCCTAGCCGGAATGACGAAACTGCCCTTGTTGACATTCGCGTATTACGAGAACTTGACCTTCCTCGCTTGGCTGGTGTGGTGGTGGCAAGGTTGTCAAACCGGTTTATGCCAGTGTGCTGATTTATCAAGTGGAATGGTTCGATCTGTGGTACATACCAGTTTGTGCCGGTTCATATTGATTAATATTACAAATAATTTACAAATACTCATATATAAACACGACATTTAACGTAAATACCTAAATATTTGTACTTGAATCCAACAAACAACATCAACATCTAACTTTTTAACACATAAAACAAATAATAAATGACTTTTTATCAATTAAATTCACTAAGATAAAATCATTTTATTTGGAAATTCGTATATCGATCATGCCGGTCATACCAGTAGTGTCATGTCTGTTTTATGACCGGTACAAGTTAAACCAGGTTCAACCAGTGGCACGCCGACCGGCGTGACAACCATGGGTGGTGGTAATGGAATAGTGACTCCCTCTGGCACGAGGCGGCGACTGTTTGGGAATTTTTTGTTTTGTTTTTTTTTATCACTGGCGTTGGCGTGAATGTCTGATGGTTTGGTTCCTGCATTAAAATTGTAATTAAGAAAGGGAAAACTTAAAAGGTGCAATTAAGAGGGGGCTGATGGAGAAAGCATAACCAACTGCTTACCTTTAAACTTTTTCCGATTTGTGGTCCAATCCTAAACCCCACGCTACTACACCAGCTTTGCTTAACCATAATTACCTTCTGTTAGTATGTGGTTTGATTTTGGTTAGCAAAATGTTTGATAGTCAAACATATTGTTCGCGAAATGTTTTGAGTTTTATGATATTGATTCACCAATAAACACAACAACTAAACACTTAAAAGTCTTAAATTACAAAAACCGTACTCATCTGCAGCAGTGGCGGAGCCGGCATTTCAAACCACCCATGTCCTCTTTTCATAATATAAATATGTAAATATTTAATTAAAATTAATTATATCTGCATAATTCATTCATAAATAACCGACTATACGATAATTGTTTTTAACAACCACAGAGAGATTTCATATTGTGAAAGAAACGCAAAAACATTCGTCGTCTACACTATTAAATAAGTCTTTTTCAATGTATCTCACTAAATTAGCATTAGCAAATTGGTAGCCAAATCGACTTGGAAACTTGTTCTTAATATAACTCAAAGCTGAAAATGCTCTTTTTACATTTGCAGTTGTAATTCGTAGAATCAAAACTAGTGGAATTGTCGATGTCGCTAGACAATTTCAGGGTTGTTGGGAAAAAATCGAATAGGCATAAGGAGAAAAGAGATCCGATTAGGTCTTTATTGCAATTATAATTCGTTTATAGTATAATAAATTAATTTTATGTCAATTTATGAATAATTAATGAGTTGTGTTGTAGTGACAAAAATACTCTAATACTACCTATAGGCGTTGTTTTGCATCACCAATATAATATAAAAGACTGATTTTTGTTCCTCCGAAATTTACACCTGTCCCGGGATAAGGCCCAATGGGCCTCCCTCCGCCTATGCTCATCTCTCAAAAGGTTTTTTTTTTAAAGTATTTTAGTAGTTAGTAGCTAGTTTTGGGACTTGTTTAGGTATCGTTTGCTTGTGGGATTTGAGTGATGGATTTGGTACCCAAATCCCAAGCATAATTGAATTGGCACAAGTCCATTGTTTGCTAAGGGACACAAATCTGTGGGGCCCACGGATTTGGACCCTTTTTTAGATCCAAATCCGTGGACCCCACGGATTTGCAAATCCCACATTTCATTTGGGATTTGATAATGGAAGGCAAAATGTGAACAAATCCATCATGAATCTATGAAAAAAATAAACTACACAAACAATGTACTCTTCCAAATCCATAATGCAACAAATCCATCATAAATCCAAAGGTTTTGAAAACTCAAAACCCTCATTTTCAAATCCAACAAGCAAACGAATATTTTGTAGTTAGTATTTGGCAAAATACACTTGTATAGCCAAAACTTTGACGGTTTGGTCAAATATAGCCACTTTGGGCGAAATACCAAAAATAGCCACTTCCGTCCAATTCTTTGACGGTGTGAAATAACGTGCTGACTAGACTAACAGAAAAGCTGGTGTGTCAATCTTTTAGTCCATAAAACATATGAGATGGAATTAACTGAAAAAATAAAATATAAAATATAAAAAATCATTTTTCTTTATTTTCTCTCTTCCCTCTCGGTTCTTTCCCCTTCCCTTCCCCCAACAGGGGCTCATCTTCATCGCGTTCTCCCTCTCTCCCCACCGAAAATCTCCCTCGCAGCGACTACCCCTCCACGCCGATGCATCTTTCCTCGCTAGGCTTTAACTAGGGCGAGGCTTTGACTAGGGAAGCAAAGAAAGCACTGGGGCGAAATGAATTTAAGTTCGTCACTTTTGAATCGAATTTTCACTCGTCAAAGATCGATTTTTTGTTTTGATTTTGAAGCCTTCTCTTTGGACCACTGTCCCTCCTGCACGATGCAGCTTTGATTCTTACTCGACGCCGCCGCTCGCGTTTCTTCCATCATCGACTGGGTTTGGGAGTTGCCGGAGCCGGAAAGGGTTTCAGAGAAAGGGGGATTTGGACGGTGATTTGGGGGCGGTGGATATTCAAGGTAGTGGCGAATTTGGGAGCTGCAATTTGGGCGGCGACGAATTTGGGTGCGACTGTAATTTTCCTCCGCCGCTTGGCATCGCCGTCATTTGTACCACTACCCCAGATCGAGATCCACAAAAGAAATTGAGCATGAGCCAATTTGCTTCATTCTCACTTAATTGGGGAAAAAAGAGGACATGTGTGATGGAAGATGCTAGCCCCAGCGGTGGAAGAGGAGGTGGAGATGGGTTTTTGAATGGTGTTGAATCAGGGGGGACTAGGGTGGTGGAGATAGGGGTGGAAATTGGGGGTGGGTGTGGTTGTCCGCCCCACATTTTGCGGGTAACCACACCCATAAATGTAGAATTATGCTATCCACAACCCGTCCCGCAGTGGGTAGTGGTTAACCACAACCCGGTGCGGGTTGGTTGTGGATACCCACAAAAATTTCACATTAAATATAATTATATTGTAATTAAGTAGTGATGTTGTGTTTCTTCTCACACAAAAACAAAAACACGCATAATAGAAAGTTAATAAAGTGTTAAATAAATTATAAATCTCGAATACAATAGGTTTGTTAATGTAAATTTAGAAGAGATGGTTTTGGAAAGAGATTTGAAGATAACGCAGAGGCAGAGTGATCTATTACCAGACAAACATCGTTGCATGTCACGACCCCTCCAATGACAATAATAACAAAACACAAAAGTGGCTCGATAAGTGGAGGTGCCCGCTTTTAATGATTTGCTTATTCTCCATTCTCGATTATAGTCTTGTATTGTTGGTAGTTGGTTGCATGTTGTGTTGTTCGTGAATTCGTGGAGAAATGGAGATTATTTTGGGTATCAGACTAACTTTTATCGATTATTCCCCTCTTTTAACAAATCGACTAATTTATCTGACTATATCTATGGACTTGGTTTTGTTATACAATAAACATATACCACACGGACAATGCTTATTTGATAAAAATATCTCACATGAACATTGCGCATTGACTTGGTTTTGTTTTATAGAATAAGTGTGTATTTGATTTTGGTATCTACTTTAATTCTTAGTCTTCCAAGTTTCACAAACTAATATAACTAATGTGGTTAATGTGGGTTACAAAGTATTTGAAGAAATAAATATAAGTAACGTGGTTAATGTGGGTTTTGTGGGTAAATCGTTGTGGCTAGTGGTTAACCACTAGCCACTGGCGTTCCATAAATCGGGCGGAGAGCACTAGGAAGAATACGAATCGATTGGGAGAAAGCGTCGACTACTCTCATAGGAAGCAACAGATTGATTTGAGGACGAAGATGAAGGTTCTCAGCGAGTTTTTTGGATTTTTGTCTATGGATTGATTTTTGGGTTTTGGTTTATGGATTTCTGGACTGCTATTGAAGAGACGAAGATCACCTGCTACTCCGTCCCCTCCGACATCATCAATTTCTTTCACTGGCAGTTAAACGAGTTTCATCTTAATACAGTGCCGGCGGCAGGTGAGTTGTGAGATATTTAGATGGAATTGGGGATGGCGGAGGTTGCGATGAAATTGAGAATCTTCTTTTCTTTTACGCAGTGACGAGTTTGTGAGAAAAACATATTTTGTTTTTTTTTTAAATTTATTTTAATTAAAAAATTGATGTGGCATACACCTGTCATCGAAGGCTGAGTTGTCGATGATGTGTCAGGTGAGTTGGCAGCACAGTAAGCATACTGTTAAAATAACTAACGGTGTCACTGACTGTGTTAACGTTTGTAACGGAAATGGCTATATTTGTCATGAAACTTTCAAAATTCTGGCTATAAGTGGTATTTCTTCAAATTTGGCTATTATTGTCACAAACTCGAAATTTTTGGCTACACAAGTGTATTTTGCCTTAGTATTTTAGTATTGTTAGTTAGTATCATAACCAGTTAGTTACACAATATTTCGAAAAATGTGGAATTATTGATGTCTTTTTTTATAGAGAATTATTGATGTCTTTGATGACACAAGAAACATACTATTTTAGATCCCGTATTATGATTGAAATTGCATTGATTTCCCATCTTTAGCGTTGTAATACTTTGGATTTGATATGTGAATGATCAAAATGAGTTTTATACTACTTTTGTTATCAAGTTACGCTTTTGGTAGCAATCTGTGCATTTTCAGGCCAAGTAATTCGTTAGGGAAGCGTTCAAAATTATCCTTAAGTAGTAGCTGCATGGAAGAACTCTTCTGATTGGTTGGATGACCCGCCAAGGTCGAATTTCTCTCACAGAAACCCTAATCCAAGGCCTATATAAAGAAGGTCTCTTTGGTTTAGAACTTGGTAGCCAATAATAGGAGGCAGTTAGAGGGTCGTTACTCTATCGACAGAGTACCCCAACTGACTTAGAGCAACACCGATTAATGGGAGGAATTAGTGGCGCAATCGGCGCCATCAACCCCAATTTTTATGTTGTGGCCGCTAATTCTAAGGGTTCTTTGGGAGTTTCGTTTCAATCGATGACTCCCCGAAACTCATCCCCATGGCAGACTAGTTCCCTTAGTTGCATAAATGTGCGAACCCTAGAGGTTCTGGATATGTACAACTTGATGTTTGGTATTCAATAACACCGTTTCTATCTTATTATTCTTTGTATATGAGCAAAAGGGAAACAACTGCAATCTGAGGGCATCTTGCGATAAGCCATTAGATATTTTTAACAGTCAAGATTAAAAGTCGTCGTATTAAGTACTAACCTAACCCTATATAATACGAGTTAGTATATGGTGCTTGGACTGGATCTCACAGGACACGCAACAACTACTTGTAGCTGGGAAATTCTACATTTCTTTGCTTCAATTTTAATAGTACATAATCCTGTTAAAATGACGTGTACGTATCCTCCAAAATACTTGGGGAGGAGGAGTGGCAAATTCGTGGTCACAATTCATAACATTTATTTGACCCTAAAATGTGGTGATTGGTCATATAGAGAAGGGAAAAGAGAACTGTCACATGAATCTGGCAGCAAATTCGTTGATGACCATGTCGCTGAGGATGCCATAACCTTTCTCGGAAGGATGGTAGCTGTCCCAAAAGAGATACTTAGAAGCATCTTTACATGTTTGTGAGTCGCTGACTGAAGTACACAAAATGCTGGCTTCTATTGTCCCAGTCCCACAACATCCTTTTACTACCACTTCAAATCCTGCACCAACCATTAACCAAAATGAAACGAGGAAGGAAAATGGTTCTTTCATCTTTTTTGTTTTTTATCCCCTCTAATATTTGGGTATTAAGACTTGATGGAATTGTTTACCATATTGAATAGGGTTGTGGATGATGGAAGTAAGACGATTGTAGACATCCAAGTACACGAACAACGCGTCGGGATGCGTTTTGCTTAGGGAATCAAGGACTGCAGAGAGCTTGGAGTTGAAGAGCTGGGCTGCTTGATTAGAAGAGTTTGAGCAGCTTCTGTTAGGCCCTCCACCGCTTGTTCTTTGTGATGGTAGACACCCTATTGGTGGTAAGCTCAGTACCCCAATTCTTCTTGCTCCAATTCGATAAAGTTCCTGTCTTCCACAAAACGAAAAGAAAAGAAAAGAAAAGAAAAAACAACAACCTTTTATTCGTCATTCATTCTTTTACATGTGAAATTTTTTCTTTAGATTCATACTAAGAAAAATAGCAGTTTTCTAACACAAAAGATGAACGATCTTATGTATGTCATGTACAACGACAAGCTAGTGGGAAATGCCAAGCAATCAAGAATGCTTGAAATTGACTTAAAAAATATGGGCTTTGAAAATTAATGGATCTGTGCTATCGACAATGAAGAAGAAGAAGAACAACAAGCTGAAGATTTAGGCGTTGATGGTGAGGAAGGGACGATATGTTATTGAAACGGATCTTGGTGTTCCTATTGTTGATGGAGGGTGATGATGTTACTGGTGGTGACGATCCAAGAGATGATGGTAATCATGGATATTATAGTGGATTTGATGGTAGTGGTGACGTTGAGCATGATTTTAATGCAAATGTTGAAGCCAATTTATTCATGTAGTTTTATTTTTATCCTTTATAACATTTGTGTGCTCTGATTTTGAGAACTTGGATTCTTAAACACTTCTCTTATTATGTAAAGTTAAACCAGTCGTTGAGAGTTTGTATTCTTGAACTCGCTTATGAGTTACAATCGATGTTTATAATAAACTTCTTGTTAAGATTTTACGAGTTTGCTCAATTTTAGAATCGTGTTAAATTAGTTATATGCTTTACACTTTTGTCCATATTTTGTTTTTAGGTAGAATCACCTGTTTAACTGCATTCAACACACCTTCCACGTAAAACCCATATAATTATATAAACCAAAGTACTATGACCCATATTCATTGTGTTGATAGAATTTTGGAAAATCACTATTCACTACTGAAAATTTTCGTGCTAGTAGCTAACCTTTTATATATTATATCTAGATAAACATTTGGGATTGTGTGTAAATTAAGGGGTCATTTCAATGAAGGATTTTGATAATGTATTTGGACCCTAAATTCAACACTCAGGTAAATTGTTCAAATTTAATATACAAAGAATAAGTATCAAATTCGTGGGATGCTCAAATTTGAATTTCCCATATAAATTGGTAACATTTGGGAGAAAGAACTAAATCTTTAGTACTAATTGAGTCTCATAAGTCAACGGATTTGATTTATTCCATGTTTACCCTCATTAATAATTTTATTATCTCCATGAAACCGATCACTACAATGAGAAATTTTTCCAAAAATGATCGATGAATCTGCAACTTTGTATAATAAGCAATACAAACACTAGAACCCAGGGTATGTCGTCTAATGAATTAGTAACCTTTCTTATCCATATTAAAATTTCATTTAAATTGTTCGCCATACAAAATTCGATTTGCATGTCAAAATCAAAACATAAAATTTGAGTTATGAAAGGATACAATACAAAATATTACAAAATCTTTGTTTTCCGGTAATTTCTTTGATTGTTTCCTTAAAAAAAACAATCGATTGAAAATCATAAAATAATTTAGAGGTTGTAGGATAAATCAAACTTTAAGTCTATAAATCCTACTAGCTTTTCACCCGGCCATTGGCCGGGCAGTTTTATTGATTATTATTAATAATTTGAAGTTACATTTAAATGATTTTGTATCTAATATTGATTAAATTTATCACAAAAAATGTTTGATTTTTTATTTAATTACCGTATCAATTCATGATAGTTCAACTCTTTAATACCGACTCATGCTTCTGATGTAGGTTTTTTAACAAATTATTTTTGTTTTAACGAAATCAATGATCGATGTTTTGATTAGCGTCGCCAAGATACTCAAATTGAATATGTTATGATTGGAAGACACTCAAATCTGTCATCATAGGCAATGTACCTAGTGGTGGAGCCAATCGAGATCAACAGAGGTCATTTGCACCACCTTGACCCCAAAATATAGTAGTTTATGTGTTTATATGATTGTTGAATGAACACAAAATCTCTCTATTATGGTAAAAAAAACTCTACTTTTAGTGATTTCCATTTAAATATAATGAATATGCTTTGAATCTCGAGTGCTTATGTTCCTTTCGGTAATAAATTAGTAATTTTTAGAAATGAATTTGTAGTTCAAATTTAGAAAATAATGGCATTTTAATGTAATAAAGAAAAGCTTTGTAAGCAGTAAGCACATATGGATAAAATGTTTCGATGGGTAATACATTCGGTGTAAAGTTTTAAATTTAAACACATCCTTAATATTTTGCTTAAGGATAATTACTACTATTTAGTGGGGAAGGCTAAACTGCCTAGGAAATTAGCAAAAAAAAATATATATATTAATCCCAAGAGTTGCGGGGATTCCTCCGAGGCTAACGTGGAGCGCAACGTTTTCCAATACCTTTTAATAGGGAATTGCTAATTGTCGCCCTAACGTAAAAATTAAATTGACATATTTACCCTTTCTCCTTTTTTACGGACATATTTATCCTTCTCCCTACTATCACCAAATTTAGATAGAATTGTCACTATGAAGAAAGAAGATTACACTGTATAATTGAGTTGGAATTCGTCTTCTAGCTATGAGGATGATAAAAAGTTTTTGTTTATACTGCAGTTGTGGTAGATAGGGGAATGACTAACTATCTTATCCAAAGCCATTCGTGATGTTCTCCATTTTCAAGTATTATATGTCAACAAAGATAAGTCTCTGTTATTCCTCCACATACAATTCCAGAGAGGATTTCTGGTCACCTGAAAAATGAGGGCACGAGGAGTTTGAATTGCACCGGTCAACTGGAAAGAAGCCGAATGGGGGAGGTGGGACCCCGCCGATTTGATCGGTGGCAGGTAAAGAAGGAAGTGCCGCTTGGGACTGGGAGGAGTCCGATGATGATTGGACAGAGGTTGTTCGATCATTTGGAGTGCTTTCAGTCGGCGGCGGAGGGACATGGAGACTGCAGGTTTTGGCCGTGGAGGTTGTCAGCAGACACGGGATAGGAAGGGCGATAAAAGTAATTAAGGTTAATTTAGTAATTTTGTGTTCTAAGTTAGGGGCGATAAAAGTAAACTTAGGGCGAAGTTTTGACCATTCAGTTTAATATTTGTAAAGAGAAGAGATATATATTATTTATTAGTTGTTTTTGGCTTTTGGTATACTGGCAGACAGTTACGCTTGATAGGATTTAAAAGAATATAATGGTGGTTACTTTTTTTAGCGGTTCCAAAAAAACATATAGGACGCTTAGCCGGAAAAAATGATGAAAGAGAAGAGGGAAAAATAGTGTTGACGTGTACACACGAAATGTGAGGAAATTTGAAATGGAGAAGGGATTTTAGAGAAAGTCTATAATATATTTTCTAGACTAGACTAGATTTAACATCGTCCATAAAAAAAATCCAATTAACAATTTATTGAAATCTCAAATGAAACCATACCCGTCATGTGCGAAATCTCAAAATTCGACACAAATTTTCATTTAGCGAAAACCTTGATCCATACGAACCTAAGTGTTTAACTATGTTTGATCTCACATTTTTGTACCTAAAGCTCATGTGGTTTACTGACTGGTCTAAAAATTTAATCCAGCTTATATTCTGTCAACTCAGTTGGTATTATAAAACAATTAATCATACCATTATGACACCCTTGGTTTAGCTATTATCAAACAATCCATCTACTCACACCTAAAAGACAAACCTCATAAAAAGTTGAAGCATAGCGTGCCATCAAATCGGTGTAGGAGTTGATGTCGTAATGCAGCCTTCTAGTGGGCGTGGAGAAGTAGGTGTTGGCAATGTCATCACTTCCTACGCATATTAAGTAGGCACTTTGAGAAACTATGGTGGCTGCTGCTTCCTCCCCCATTCCTTGCCTTATCTTTTTTAGGTACTCCTTGAACAGCTCCACCTGATCTGATAGCGATAGAACAGACTTCCCTCCAACAAAAACAAAGGCAGGTAATTAAGACGACGTTACTTAGAGTGGGTTTAGTTTTGTCCTAAATAAGGATGGAGAGATCAGCTAAATTCAGTAGCAAGCAATTCAAGCTTACCACTATCCTGGCCGTTAGAGGATCATAGCCCGAACCACCTGAAGCGAAACTTACCCCGGTGGCGAGGTCTTGAAGCGTCAGAGTCGGATCAAGATAGGCTGGCACTAGTTCCTTTAACCCTAGAATGTTGGCTGCAACATATTTCGTTTTTGGTTGTGTAAGTGGGAAAAAAAAAGCACTCTGTAGCCGGACTGAAACAAAGAGGGCACTAGTTAATTAGCATATATATACCTGCAAAGTCAGAAGGGACTTTCCCATTGCAAAACCTTCCAGTGGGTTTCGCACCGACGAAATCCCTCCCATAAGGCGGGAAGTCGCACTTGACAATGGTGGCCACATGGTTGTTGTTGCCGGGATCCACAATGGAGTCTCCAAACACCAAGATTGCTGGTGCTAATTTCTTCTTTGGAGCGCCTGCTGCATTGCTAATAACCGCCGGGAACACTACTACTGATACACAAGTGGTGGTTATGACCATTACCAAGTAGAAATTTCTCAGCTTCATGTTGCTTGGTGCGTGTCCATTGCATGTAAGGCGACATATATATATATATATAGAAGTAATTGGGCTACACATCTGGTCTGGGCTATGAGAGTAGAAAATGATGTCACGGGGATTAGTTACGAAATATGGTTGGTGGGTTGGCAGTTGTTTCGTAAAGAGTGCTGAGTACGGGGTGGCTATACGGTCCGGCTCCGGTTAAATTGGCTCAAATTGATTTGGTCTCAGTCCGGTCTTTTCGAGAATATAAGGACCAAAGATTGGATTGGATACATTCCGATTTTGATCCGGTCAGGTCTCAATTCGGTCTTGATTTTAGATTGAGCTTGTGGTGATTTAAGTATCCTGAGGGGGGATTTGAGTGTCCTAAGGCATGAAAGGGTGAGGAGGTTAAATTTTGGGTGTTGGCTTCTCTTATACGGTCTTTATCCGGTTTCCGATCCAGTCCCAAACGGGGTTTTTTTATACCTCAAATTTAGGCTCAAAAATTGGATTGAATTGTTTGCTATTTGGTCCCAATCCAATCTCAATCCGAGTTATCGGTCCGGTTTCGAGTAAAACCAAAAAGCCCGGACTAGGGATGGCAATGGGTCGGGTCGGGCGCGGATAGTGCATATCCGTTACCCTACCCATAGTAGTTCGGGTTTTACCCATACTCATACCCACATGTGAAATGGGTAGAAAATCAAAACCATGCACATACCCGTTCGGGTTTCGGGTATCCACGGTTATCCATGGGTAATAATTTCTCTTCATAACTTCGACCAATATGTTAACATTCATACGTATTCTCACTTTACGTAAGAGGAAAAGTACGACAATAATTCACTAGGATGAAGAAAATTAATTAAAACTACACAATTTCATGAAAATATTATATTTATATGCTAAATATAAAATATGTTAGAGAAAAATATTGATCATTTCTAGACAAAATACATATGCATGTGTATAATCGGGCGGGTTCGGGTTGGATAGTGAGAAACCCATGCCCACCCATTACCCGCAATATTCGGGTTCGGATTTTACCCGTACCCACTAAATGTCCTTCGGGTTCGGGTTTTACCCTACCCAATTAGACCGGATTCGGACGGATATCCACGGTTACGGATATTTTTGCCATCCTAGCCCGGACCAAATAGCCAGATTATGAACGAGGCCTTTTACCTTTGCCACTGAAGTGGAACTACAATGACATTGTACTTGGCTACTGTGATAGCAATTATTTTATCGCTGAAAAGTCAAGCAAAAGGGGAAAAGAGAGAGGGGGAAGGTGCAAAATGCTTGGCTACGAGAGATAAAGATCAGACATGTGAAAGAGGACTCTAGAGATCTGCTAGCTAGCTTAGTGGCAAGCTGATGAAGCAGCTCGAGCTATCACTACTCTGTAATTAATAAATGGAAAATGGGTCTGTGGGCAGGTAACGTCTGTGGCCATTGGCAATTGGCCGGTCATTATTCATGTTAATGGGGCATATCAAATTGTTGAGCACATGAGACCATTTATTTCTTCTGCATTACTCAGCCTTAAAGTTGTGTTGTTGCGGAACTAGTGAGTCGATCTGCATAACTCTGTTCTATGTGTCTATCTCAATTTCTCCCTACTGGTTATCAGAGTATCTCCCTGTATATAACATTTTCATGCATTTTAAACAAATTTGGACCATGAGATGGCTATCCTAAACCCACCCAACTATGGCAAAGTAAATATGATACGATGATGGTTGTCAACAGGGGCGGAGCCCGGATTTGACGATGGGGAGGGGGAGCTATTTAGCGTATAACTAAAAAAAACAAAAAATTATTATAAGAAAAATTAATAATTTATTTTCTATTATTACAATGACACAAGGAAAACTATGAGCAAAAAATTAATCATGCATATTACCGTCTAGTATGTTTCTCTGTATTTTTATAACTGAAAAATGAATGTTCACAAGTATTATTGTTTAAAAAATTGAAATAACCAATATATAAATAAAATATTTATTAGAAATAAGAATTTAGATGAAGTTACTTGATCTATTTTGAAGTCACATGATTTATAAACACAAATTAAGAAAGTTATATGATTAAATGCAATTATTAATATATAACTAAGAGATTCTTTAAAAATAAGAATTTAAAAGTTGAAGAAGTTACTTGAACTACTTTCAAAGCACTTGACATGTAATTAAAAACTATGAAAGTTATTGCCTTCGGTTACATCACATTAAAGCTTATTGTAAAAAAAAAACATTAAAGCTATAACAAGTTTAAAAACGTAAAATTTTACCTTCCTCCACGCTCAAACCCAGGTTAATTAGAGAAACATGCAGTGTCATTTCCGCTAGACTGCATTTAGATCCATGTTCTATAGTTGTACGCGACATATATTTATTAAATACCCTTCATTTTATACGTAATTTATCCTAAGTTATATAAATTTTATACGTGATTTCAAAATTCTCGGGAGGGCCGGGCCCCCCCGAAGGCCCACCTAGCTCCGCCCCTGGTTGTAAGGACTAGGGTGCTAACACCTTTTTGGTAAGTATAGTGTTAACACAAATTTCAGCTATCAGATCTCAATGTACATTGTCCCAAAAAGGCACTCTCGTTACTCTAGAACGGGTTGCCACAACATGTTTGCATTAGACACTACACCCCACTTTTATTCATAGTAAACATGTTGTGAGAAAGCACAGAACCGAACACCTTTCCCCACACACACACACACACTTCAAAGACACATTGTCCTCAACGTGGGAATTTTAGGTTAGTTTCATGAATTGTTACCATAGGTGGTAATGTAGTCGAGGGAAAAAATTGGTACCCAATGTGTAGGTCTTCTTTGATGTATAAAAGATTCACAAAAACGCACAAGGGAGAACGGAGAAATGATTTTCCTAGAGAGATAAGATAAAAGCCAAGGCGTAATTAAAAACGAAAATACCAAAACGATAGTTACTAGGCACTAAAGCACACACATAGATAATATCCAAAGTACTGAAAAGAAAATAAAAGCATCAAACTGTCATGATTCCGCCTCATCTTCCTCCTCGAGCATGGTGTAAGCTGGTAGAGACGGGGTGATACAAGCACGAAACCGGCATCCATAGTTATCAAAGTCACGCAGCTAAGGACATGAATAAAATATAGGGATAAGGCAGAATTGAAGTGCAATCTCACACCTGGGAGAAGGCTCTATCAATATAAGGGTAGAAGCTCAACCACAATCAAAATGGATGCTGGATTGATATAGTGACAACACTATATGAAATGGAATCCACCAATAACACAAAGCCAATTCGATGAACCATGTTCAACTCAATAATCAATAATATTGAAAAACTGACCTAAAACTAGTGTTTACAACCCTTTAAATATGTCTGGAAAAATAGAAGTAATAAAAAACCCAAAAATGAAAAGAATTCTAAAACAAAAAGGTAACAACAACCTGTCACCCCAATCACCGGGTTTGATCCTTGAAATCCCTAGACGCGGAAAACGCCATCTGACCCCGGGGAAAACCTCCTGTCTGAATCTCCGGGTTGGGAATATGTCTTTCTGGCTAGGGAATTCTGTTGGGGAAGGACATCAGTTCATCCCCATTGAAGAAGCTTTACCCTCAAAACTTGAGTAAAACACAATGCATCATTCTCCCATTTGAACTCGAGCAATCCATAAAGCTCTCGATCCAAACAAGTGTCCCAGCCTAGCTTCCAATTAAAATTCCATGCATCATCATCAAGAAAGAAAAAATAATCTCCACAATTCCAAGAAATCAAAAGCACAAACAGCTCCGCAAAAAAAAAAAAAGGCTACATTCCATGTACTTTGAAGCTCAAATTGTCATAGTTCGTCCCTTGTATCCTCCATTAGGGCTCTACATAATTGATAAGATCAATTCTCCTTCCTCCAGGATCAATACAGTAGGTTTGTATTGATCAATTCTCGTTCCATGAGATAGTGGCATCCTCATTCAATCCTTCTAGAAATGATTTAGCACATAGAAGTTCCAGAATTCCGCACTGCATCTTGAATTTCGCCAGCGATGATAATTTGGTCACCAAGCTGATTTTCGTCGATTGCAATCTATCCATTTCAAGCATGTTCTCCACAAAAATCTTGTTGCTTGATAGTTGAATCTCTAGAACACCTTCTTCAGTAGCCTATTATGCTGTAGCCATTGTTTATTCGACAAGTTTTGTTGTCTATGTTTTCTTTGTTTCCAGGGCCTTCTGCTCCTCCTCATCGGCATATTGTAATTGCCTCATATCTTCAACAACCTCTTCAAACGATAATGATATCAAGCAAATTTTTTTCCGTAATGCCTTAAGATGATGTTGTTGTTGTTGATGTTTTCACTGCTGCGATCATCGTGCCATGGTTTATCCAGCACCACATGACTAAGCTTCATAAGCACAACTGACACACTACAACACAACTCCTTACAATGAACAAGTGTAACCAATGAAAGGGACTGCAGTATAGTGACACAAGTAATAAATATTGAATCCACGGGTCTCTAGTATTACTATTACTCAGCTTCGGTTCATTATCTAACAAACTAGATTAATGATAGATTTACTAAACTACTCTACTAATTACAGGTTGGGAACTCACTTAGGTATGATTCCCCCTAACTCCTCAATTAGGTCCAAGTTATAATTCCTTTTGGTTGTTTTACTGTTGATTAAACAACGGAAGATCCTAAATTAGCTTGGAATCTCTTAAGCTGACTAAGTCCTCTTAGACAGAATACCTGGCAGGCGACTAGCCTTCACCTAGATAGACTGCTAAGGCAATTTGGATAGATCTCCACTAGTGGAATGAATTACAATACAAAGTAGTGAATTGACTGACTCTCGCAAAACCAATTCACTACTATCAATCAAGGAAGCTCTCTTAAACTAATCAGATTCTATCTATCATAGGTTAAAACAGAAATCAAGAGAATTTGATCAGGATTCAATTGACTCAATAAATCATGCCCCAATCGATCATAATCACACAATATAGCATCGAAAACTTCAT